TCGTAGGTGCACATGGTGTACGAGCAGACCCAGAAAAGGTAAAGGCTGTAAATGAATGGCCAGTCCCACGACATGTGAAGGATCTGCGCCAATTCCTTGGGCTCGCTAACTACTTGCATAAGTACAGCAAGAATTAAGCGGAGCAGACCAAGCCATTGTCTGACCTTATAAAAAAGGATACAGAATGGACTTGGTCAAAGGAACAAGAAGATGCGTTCACTTCAGTGAAGCAATCTCTTGTAGAGGCACCGGTCTTGGCATTGTCAGACGCGGATAAGACCTTTAGCGTCGTCTGCGATGCAAGCAATTTTGCAATCGGCAGCGCGCTCATGCAGAAGGATGACAACGGCGTTGACCGTGTCATTTCTTATCAGTCTCGGCTTTTAAAAGCTGCCGAGCTGAATTACCCTGTGCATGACAAGGAGCTACTTTCAATTAAGTATGCCCTTGTAAAGTTTCGGGTGCACCTCTTGGGCACCAAACCTTTTGTGGTTTATACGGATCAAGCATCACTGTGGACCGCTACAAATTCACCGCACCTCTCGACGAGAATGGCGAGATGGCTAACATTCTTCTCTGAATTTAATTTCAAAGCTGAATATAAGCCGGGTAAGTCGAATGTCTTGTCTGACGCGATATCGCGCAGACCAGACTTCGAGGCAAGACACCAGGATAGTGTGTCTCGTGCGAAAGCACAAGTTGAGTCGTCAAAATTGGCAGCCATGAAGGCCTACCATGTTACGAGCTCAATGGCCTCCGATATAAAGGAGGGTTCTAGTCAGGACGAACATTGTCGCCTGCTGTTGGATCATTTTGGTGGACGAAAGGTTACCCTTCCGTCGCACCTCAAAGCGAAACTAAATCGTTTCAGTTACAGTGATGGCCTATTATGGCATCAACTGTAACCTTGTCATCCCTTGAGGATCTATGTCCCTCATGACACAAATCTCAAGCTGATGATACTTCACGAGTGCCATGATGCACCATCTAGTGGGCATCTGGGCCGTGAAAGGACATTCTTACGAGTGTCAGAGGAATTGTGGTGGACCCACCTATATCGGTGGGTGGACAACTATATTCGCTCTTGCGAAGAGTGTCAGCGCATAAAGCCTGCACCTTCAAACAGTGCGCCACTGAAGCCACTGCGGAGGGCCCCTCACTTCGCTCGGTGCGAATGCCAAAGAGGGCCAAGGTTGCTTTAGTGACACTGCTAACTTAGCAGTGGTCACGACACCTATAGGTGTCACAGAGGAGGCACGACAAGAAATGGCAGTGCTCCTTGATGATGACACTATAGTGTTGTCAACAGCGCCGACCCATGAACGACCTCTTGGAGGCGTCATCGGCGAGCTGGATGCTAAAAGCGTGAGCGAAGCTCAGCGCTTTGTGGATGAGCGATTAGCCATCACACGTAAAGTCCGTGACGCGATGGCAAGCGCACAGGACAAGCAAAAACAATATGCAGACCAGCATGGTCGCAAAAACAATGAACACTTTAGTGTTGGGGACAAAGTGCTATTAAGTACTGCTACCCTACCTAAACATGCAATCTCTGTACTACCTGGTGGTACTACTAAGCTATTGCCCCGATTCATTGGGCCCTTCACAGTGGTTGAAGAAGTTGGAGACCTAAATTATAGGCTCACTCTCCCACCGTATATGAAGACGCACCCCGTATTTTACGTGGGTCGTCTGAAGCGGTATGTTGATCCAGAAGAGATCACATATCCACATCGGTCTAACGAGACCGATGGTGACGTCGACTGTGAGTCGAGCGTCGCGACCGATCAGGCGACGAGGAAGCCGAGAGGCTCCCGTGTAAGAACGAGGCGATAGAGGACTCGGTGATCGAGGAGGACTCCGCGCTTGACGCGGATCTCTCATCACCAGTCGCTCTAGGATGTCCAAACGGGTCTTCAGGCGGTCATACCCCTGACGGTCTCTCGCCCTCACATCACGCAGATCCGAGGTCAGTCGCGAGACTTGACTCTCGAGATCTGTCACCTGCCTCTTCAGCGCAGCGGACTCAGCCTGCGACTGAACAGCAGCAGGGTAGGCAGCCGCGAGTAGGTGGGCGTAATCGCCACTCCTATCGGGCACCACCTGTGTTGATGGACGCGGAAGGTAACACGCGCTTCCTTGTTGGAAGGCTGTTGGCCCACCGGTTTGTGAAGCGAAAGCTCCAAATCCTTGTCCAGTGGAAGGGTTACCCAACGAGCTTTGACTCGTGGGAGCCTGTGGACGCTTTGCGCGTTGACGTGCCTGGGCTGGTGACTGCTTATGTGAAGCAGCACCAGCTGTCGTCTTCCTGCTAGGTCCGGCTGGACTAGCTGAAGAAGCGTGGCGAGAATTAATTGGGGGTCGCTTACCACCCAAGAATTCATGCGCACGCTTCATGGCGAAGCTGATTTGCTGCGACCGCTGTTTCGTTGCATCTTCATGCAAGGTAACACGGCGCCGAAGTTCAGCTTCATAGTCGTCGGCTGTTTCGTTAGAACGCAGCACGACTGGAATCGGGAAAGCACGATTAAGTGCTTTGCCCTGCTTTTTCCACAAGGGATCGACGCTATAGAATCTATGAGCGTCTATAGTGGCACGCTGCAAAAGCGCTGCACTAGACCCATCCGAGTTCATCCACTCAGATGGAGGTGGCATTGGTGGCAAGCCACCACTCACGTAGCCGCCCTCGCGACGGCGGTCTAGTGAGGACGAAGGTGTACTTGGTGGAGCTTTCAGCTCACACTCACCTGAGTCTGACTCTCCATTATGGATTGTCAAGACATCAGCTTGAGGAGTAACATCTGACTGAGTCGCGACTACTCCTTTCGAAGTAGCGTGCTCAGTCTTAGTCGCTGCGCTCGTAGGCGCAGACGACGAGGTTTTACCTTCGCTTGTAGGAGGCATAGATGCTTCCTCAAGGACGGGTGCCTCAAATGATGGGGACATATGTCCCATCAATGCGCTTTGCTCATCGCCACATTGGGGTGATGGCAGTGGTGTGGTCTCATCGTAGTCTTCAATTAGAGATGGATCTTCATCCACATTATCGTGAGATGGAAGATTCACCTCAGTGCCTGACGCACTTTGCGACGGCTGCGATAAATCGCGGCGCGTGCGCTTAGTGCTGGACTGCATGGGTGCCTTTGCAGGCGACCCATCAGCCTTACCACGTTTCGGTGGCATGAGAGTTGAGTAGACTAAAGCGGCGCGTTTATAAACGGCTCGCAAGTCTCTCTACCTCTTAGGCGATGTTTTACAAAATGTAAAAATCGCTCTAAAACGGGGGATGGTGTAACGGGCTCAACGTTCCACGTACCCGTAAAGTACGGAGTACTTAACGGGCAGGTCTCAAAAGGTACGTAAGTACTTAAGACCTGTCGCTCGGGTGAGACACACCATGTGTCACACCCTTGCGTATGTGATATACACTAGGTGTATTCACATTGATGGGGATGACGCCCAGCTGGGACTAGGCGTCATCAAATGACGTCAGTCAGTTACGTCATTGAGCGAGCTTAATATATATAAGCTCGCACATTGGGATGCGCATCTATAGAGATGGCACCCATCATTACATATTAACCAATCAGTAGTTAGATTTATATTTAGTTAAAATCTATTAAATATAAATCAGTCTTGAATTTGCTTAAACACCGAAGCACCACGCACGAGAAGCTGAAAAGCTTCTACGTGACGTCGGTGCCTTCTTGTTAAGAAGTTCGTTGCACTCTCGCTTAAGCGAGAGGCAACTGGTGGTACGACTGCTTAAGCAGTCGACCAACCTCCCAACCTCCCAACCACCCTCGCACGCGATTGTAAGACGGTATAACCGCTTCCTCGCTTGTGCATAAGGTGTGTGCTCGTAGTACGAGGCAACTTCGTAGAAGTGCGCGTCTACATCTATCCTTTCAAGTCTTCCTCTAACTAAGAAACTGTGTAGCTCCGGTACAACGCTGGTTGCATTAATCTCCACGACAGCGTTGTCGAGTGTATCTTTTCTCTCGGCTACTTCCTGCGACAACTTTGTCGACAGCATGATTGTCATCGACAGTCTCTTAAGTAACTTCAGGCTTCTGTACAACAACCACTTGCCCTGCTGGCACTTCGCCGTATGCACCTGTATTTACTTTTGCGGATGTCACAACCTCTTCTGCACGTGGCAGTAAGATACTTTCCCACGACGTCTACAATATCATCAACGATCGCCGCAACCTCGTCGTTTTTCTGCTCATCGCCTTTTGTCTCTGATACCACAACCTCCTATATAGTAGACTGCGTTTCTTCTCCCAATCCTTCTCATCCTGTTGAGTTCGATGCCGTCATCACCCCTCCATCCGCGACCTCACGTGCGTCTCTAGAGAAAATTCTTGCACCATCAATAATGGTGCAAGAATTTCATAAGCCACCAGAACCACGTCCCTTTGACGTCGAAGGTTCAATCGCAGTCAATGGAGGACTCTGTCGGATTGGTGCAAGCGCTACTGACGCATCTTGGAGTTGCAATTGGCGAAGGCATTGCAGCTGTCAAAATCTACTGACCCAGCGTGGTTTCCCGAGACGACGGTGTCGGCAAACACCCTGCTACGCTACCATACAGCGTGGTTTGCCGGTACTTTTTTGATTTGTGACATCGGTCCGAGCTTGAAACAAAGCTATGATCACTGCATGAATGTTTTTATGTTTGGGCAACTGTCGAGAGCTGCTAGGGTAGCAAGTGTAGTAGTATATTCTCCACTACGTTGAGGGCCACTTTGAAAGAAAGCAAAACTTATATAGAGAAGCTGGCAGGAATCCTCGTTGCATCAGCATTCATCGTAGAAAAATAAATCATGGCGAGACTGACGAGCTTTGAATCGAGAGCTGTAATATTCGAATATGAATTCAGCGTCAAGATCTTGTAGCCTGACACTATGAGCCACCTCCTACCTATTCATGCATGTGCAAACGAATTGCACATATACGCCCAGCTTTATCATTTCAGTAGAAAAAACTTCGCAACTTTACCGAGCACGTGATTTCGGAACCGTACGAGTGACCGTCGACACACCATCAACAAATTTGGTTCGGAAGACCACATTGGCATTGTTGAACATGCCCTCTTTGAGTGATACCACGATGAATTGTGAATGCGAAAAGTGTGACCGAATCATCTGGCCAATATTTTGGGTGTGCGACAGATCTAGAGCAGCATCAACTTCGTCCAGAATGTACATTGGTGCCGGCTTGAACAGCAAGAGCGACAAAATGAGAGACAAAGCAAGTAGTGAGCGCTGACCACCACTCAGCTCCGTCAAGCTCTCCTTCCACACGCCACCAAACGAAACGCGCACTTGAAGTCCATCGAGAATGGTCCCTAGCGTAAAGACAACAAAAGTCAATAACAACACTCTGCTGCACGTGAAGAGTAAACAGGATATTACCATTTGTAGGCGGGTCCAGCTTTGCATGCGTTCCAGGCAGTAGCGTGCCGAAGATGGAACCAAAGTCCTTGTTTACCTTCACCCACGTTGTCTGGAGAGCCTCGTTTTTTTTCGCGTCAAGCTCCTTGATGACTGATGTAATTTTCTCTTTGTCGTTCTCGATGATATGACGCTTATTCATCAGGCCTTGGTACTCCTGCTCAGCCTTCTCAATCATTCCCATGACTTTTTTGTTTATCTTCTTAGACAGAGCGCCCTGGGTTTCCTTTAATTCTAATAGACGGCGATTCGCGCTCGATGGATCCCGTCGCTGGAAGTCATAGTCAGTGTGTTCGCGTCCAAAAAATTCCTTCTCAGTTTCAATCCAGGGGTGTGCCTTCTCCAACTTCTTTACCATCATCTTGGCATCGCTTTCGTCCTTGGCCATCCGAGAAATTTTATGCTCCGCCTTTTTGCGTTCAATCTCTAGGTCACTTCTTCTTTTTGAGAGAGCACTCTGACGAGCACTTAGCTCCTTAAGCTGCTGGTCACACAGAGTCAAGTCGCTACGTCGCTCTTCCAGTTTTCCGGAAGCCTTTTTGTAAGTATCCTCGATTTCAGCAAGCTTGTCTTCCACCTTCTTCTCCTCTTTACGAAGCGCAGCAAGCTCTTCTTGAATACCAGATACGCTTTCGTTGTTACCTGTCAGCTCCTGCTCGGCAGATTCCGATTCCAGCACCAGCTCGGATAGTTCCTGCTGCGCAGTCTTGAGGTGCATACCGATCTTTTGGGTCTCCTTTTTAGCCTCTGCAAATCGCTTCTCCAGAACAACTATCGTTGATTGACGCGACTCCTTCAAGTTGGCGATGTCATTGCCCAGGATCTTTACCTCGTTTGTTAGCTTAACAACCGCCTCTTTTTTAGTAATCAAGAGTTCTTTATCCTGAGCGTACTGCGCTTCGGAAGCAGCAACGTCACGTTCCAGCTGGGCAAAGACACTATCGGCAATACGCTCGTCAAGCAAGCGCAGCTCGTGCTCCTTCAGCTCAATCTGGTGTTTTAACTGGCGAAAGTGGCCAGAATCCTAGACAAACAATACATAAAATTAGTGCTATCGCAAGCAATAGGTTAGGTCAAAGTCGACAAACCTGCTTCATGTCATCTAGGGCGCGAGAACAATCCTGATAATCTCGTCGCATATCGCTAAGTTCCCGGGTACGGTTGATCAGTTGATGGAGCCTTAGAAGGACTGGAGTACCACTGGATGGCGCAGAACCTCCTTGAAGCGTGCCTGCTGGGTCGTAAGAATCGCCATCGAGAGTCACTGTCTTGACTTTAATATCCCTGTGGAACGTAACGTTCTTTGCAAGTTCGCTTGTTTCACATATTATAGAGGAACCAAAAGCGTACTGCATCGCTGGAAGAAGGTCTGGCTTGAAGTGAATCAATTCCATCGCTTCCCACACTTTCCCATCCTGCTGCTGGGCAACCTGTCGGGCTTTGTCCACTTTACGACGATCCACCGTCTTGCGCGAAATGCGGTTAAGCGGAATGATTGTGACGCGGGTCATGAGACGGCCAAACTTGAGAATGTCCTTTGCGGTCTTCTCATTGTCCACCACAACCTGGTACAGTTTTCCGCCTGCAGCAATTTCTAGAGCAAGTGCAGACCACTCGTGCTTCGTCTCGAGCAGGTTGATCAGTACACCCATGACGCTTTCTCGGTTGAAGTTACGGTAAGGGTCCGTGTACTTGAAATCCAACCGGGATGACAACCCAGACGAAATCTCATCCGCATCCCTCTCACCACGCGCGATCTTCTCTTGTAGCTCACGAACGCGGTCTTGAAGTTTACGCTCTTCTTCAGAGTTGAAACTGTTTGTGAGCCGATCAACCTTGCGCTGCATATGCTCCAGCTCACCAATCTTGAGCTTACGCTCTTCGTCCAGACTGAGGTTGTTCATGCGGGTCTGCTTAATTTCATGACGCTTTTGTTTGATACTTTCTTCCATGTGCTTTAGCTTTAGGTTAATCTGTTTGATCGCAGTGTTGCTCTCCTGCAATTCCCGCTGCTTTGACGCAAGACGCTCAGATAGAGACTCATCGCTGTCTCCACTCTGCTCCATACCAGCATTCAGCGCCTGAATCTGGCGCAAGTAGTCGTTTGTCTCTGTCTCCTTGGCTGTGTAAGTCTCCTCGATTCGATTTACTTTCCCCTTGGCCTTTTCAATATCCTTGGCTAGCTTAGCCATAACCTGTTTGGTCTCTGCTTGTTGATCATTCATACCTGCTTCCGCGTTCACTTGTTGCTCGATGGAGGCTTTGCAGTGTTTCAACTTGGTGGTGAACTTGACCACTTCCTTGCTGATCTTTTCCACATTGTTCTTCAATTGCTGAAACTCCTTGCCCATCTCTTTCTCTCTCTGTTGATGAAGTACTTCAACTTCATTTTCCACCTGTTCAATCTCCTGTTCAATCTGCGCTTCTTGCTCCTTGGCTGCTCGCTGGGCCTGCTGCATCTTTTCCACATGCTGTGCAGTATTATTCAGCGCGTCCTGCGCCTTTTGGTAATCATTGGCGACACAGAACCTTTGTAGCCGCTCCATCTCCGTGTTATTGGCCGCCCACTTCAAGTAGTGCGTCTTTTCAGCCCGCAGTTTTTCGAGCGTGGGAGTAATTTCATTGGCCAGGATGCTGTTAATCTCGTCGACCTTCTTCTCCTTCTTGGTCATGGTCTTGAGTGCAGCTAGCTTCTTGTTCTCGTACATCCTCGTGCCAGCCGCTTCCTCGATCATGCCAAGGATCTCAGGTGGCTTCATGTTAAGTACTTTAGTGATACGACCTTGCATGATGAGAAAGTGTGGATTGTTCACATTGAGCTGTACCGAGTGAAAGAGGTTTTGCACCTGACTCACTTGGGCTGTGTGGCCATTGATGAGGTACTTATTGCGGCCACCAATCACGACCTGCCGCGCCACGGAGATCTGCTCGTATTGCTCATAGCCCACAGGTGAGGCCTTGGCGTCCTGATTGTTAAACACAATGGTCACACTGGCTTTTGTCACGCCTGCTTGACCCTGTTTGTATACGAGCTCCTGCAGATTATTGGCCCGCACCTGCGATAGGTTGGTGATACCCAGTACAAAGCAGATGGCGTCCAGCACGTTCGATTTGCCGCTACCATTGAGTCCCGTAATGGCATTAAAACGAGGATCGAACCCGCTTACGACCGTACGCGTTGCGTACGACTTGAAGCCGTCCAGAATGATCTCTTCAATGTGCATGGTCGACGGACTTTCCTCGTGTTAATGTCTGGCGCGCGCAATTGTTTTAGTGGGCCAATGCTTTCGCAATATAGCTGATATGGTTTCCATTATTACACAATATAGACAGGTCTATAGTAATTTATTATATTCGATGCACTGTTGAAGGAGTGATGGTCACTGAAGTTGAAGCACGCAGATCGCCATGTCGGCTGAATATGCGACGAGCGCATGCGCAAAGTACTTTGCTAGAATATAACAAGAAACCAATACTCTTGGATTGCTGTCGTGGGTAGAGGCAGGCGGTCGAGAAGTGTATTGCTCTCCGTCTTCCTACTTATCTCCTAGCTCTTTCACCTTCTTCATTCGCTGTCGCTGCGCTCGCTACGCTGGATAATGCTGCTTCGGTCTACGGCTGTATGTCAGCATTGCTCCAAGTACTCGTTGCTTTGTAGTCTGCTGTACTTGCCTATGCACCTCGTACAATGAGCCTACGGACGCATTGCTACGCATAATTGCAGTAAGTGCTCATCTTCTCTGCACTTTTTACTTCTGATGTGGCTTTGCAGCGTCACACACTCAACTCGGTCGCCATCGCTACCTGTTGGCTATATATAGTCCTGGAAAACGACATATAATATGTGCATTAAGAAGGAGTAGCGCAACATACTATGATCCGGAAACGGTGCGGTACGTCCACTACTTCGGTTGATGGCACATTGCACTCCTGGGTGTTGCTTGTATCACTGTGGTCAATGAAACAAAAGGGAGTCAATGGTAAGTCCTTGATACTTTTATTTTGAGGTGTCTTGCAGGACATATAATGAAGCTACGTCGCTAGACACAAGTATGCCACATCTCGCGCGACCAAAGTCAGCTCTGGATGAATAAAACACTTTTTGTAGCCGCTGAAGAAATCAATAACAACAAAAAGACCGTGGGCATTACGGCCCTCGCGAGCCTTTTAAGAATGATGTCATCGATTTTATTTTGCAGAGTGAAGCAGCGCCATAGAAGCAAATCGACCTTTCAGCAACGACCTTACCCTTGCATGGCTGCGATCGGTTTTACACGTTCTTGACACCATTGCGCAAGTATCATCCAGAAGGCCTCAACAGGAGCGTGTAAACTTTCGACGTTGTCCATTTCTTACTAGCTTGGACTAATCCAAGCACCGCCAGCCAGCTACAAGCTAAGCAGTGTACAGCTAGTTGAAGATAACGCTAATGCTGCATGTATGTGTTGATTTTGAAATACCGACAAGTAGCAACCAGCACTGGATAGACAAAGCCACCTTTTTACAGCGCATGTGCTCCTCCTCGGTTCTTCAATGTCGCTACTGCTTTGAATGCATCTCGCGAATCCTTTTGCAGCACAAAAACTTAGCCAGACATCACTAAAACAGAATCCAGGTGACAAATTCCGATGGTTATTAAGTTAGTCGACCGAAAGACAGGAATTGCTCGTAGAGATGACTTTACTCCAGCGACAAAGTTCACCAACATTGAAGGCGATTGGCATCGCGTCGTCACGGTACGCAGCCACACAGCTCTCTCGCATATCAAATATACATGTGCATCGCAGCTCACAGATAGATATAAGTAGACTTATAGACATTCTCATGTCCATAAGCTCAGCATATGTAATTAGGCGCGTAGAGCATCACCAACTTGTTGTACCAACCATATTATCTTATCTCGTCAATTGTTACGAGTGGTTGATGCGGGGCGAAAGACGCACGACTACTCAAAGTTCAAGGTAGAAGAAAAAGAGGTGTATATGCAGCGCCTCATCAAGTAAAAGCCTACCTACACCTCCAGTTCGTCAGCACTAAGAAGATCATAATTAGCTTAAATAAATACAGCTGCAGTCGATAGCATAAGGCGCCATTTTTTAGTCGGACGATTATTGCAAAAAGGACCTATTTAGTGCGACACAATCTTTGCCATTTTAGGGTGCACCGCAGGGTCTCTTGTAGCTGCCACTTTTTACCGACTTTTTACACATGCCTTTCTTTTTTTCCTACCATAAGATAGGTGTATGGAATGTAACACTGGGCATACCTTTTATCCAAAACCCAAGTTGAAAATGCTATACTAAAGGTTTATCATATTTCACTTGTTTCAATTTCATAGTTTCAACGGTACTTTACAAACCTACATACGTGTCGCTCTCGTAGCCCCCCTTTGCGCTTACGAGGGCTCATTCCCCAAAAAGTATCAAGACGCAACAGAAGGAAGAATCAGTCAAAAAATGCGCTTTTTGCATCTGATTCGACCCGTCATGTGCGTTCTGCCTGAAGTGGCACAGCCTGACCGCAAGATTCCGTTCCGTGAGAAAGTGCTTTGGACAATCATTACGCTCTTTATCTTCCTCGTATGTTGCCAGATTCCGCTCTATGGTATTCAGACGACCAAGTCATCGGATCCACTCTATTGGATGCGTGTAATTCTTGCCTCGAATCGTGGCACACTCATGGAGCTGGGTATAAGCCCTATTGTAACGTCAGGCCTTGTCATGCAGCTGCTCGCTGGTTCCAAGATGATTGAAGTCGACCAGTCACTTAAAGAAGACCGTGCACTGTTTAGTGGCGCCCAAAAGCTCTTTGGCATCCTCATTACGCTGGGTGAGGCTGTAGCTTACGTGGTCTCAGGCATGTATGGCAACATTTCAGACATTGGTGCATTCAACGCTATCCTTATCATCGTGCAGCTACTGTGTGCTGGTGTATTGGTCATCATTTTGGACGAGATGCTACAGAAAGGCTACGGTCTTGGCTCGGGTATTTCGCTCTTTATTGCTACTAATATTTGTGAAAACATTGTCTGGAAAGCCTTCTCCCCCACGACCATTAACACTGGACGTGGCACGGAGTTTGAAGGTGCTATCATTGCTCTGTTTCATCTGCTGATTACTCGCTCGGACAAGTTGCGTGCTCTCAAGGAGGCTTTCTACCGCCAGAACTTACCCAATGTCACCAATCTGCTAGCCACTATGTTTGTTTTCGTTGTGGTCATCTACTTCCAGGGCTTTCGTGTGGACCTTCCCGTCAAGTACCAGAAGTTGCGTGGCCAGCAGGGAACGTACCCGATTAAGCTCTTTTACACGTCCAACATGCCTATCATTTTGCAAACGGCTCTGGTGTCGAACCTGTACTTCATCTCGCAGCTGCTGTACAAGAAGTTCAGTGGCAACTTCCTCGTCCGTCTGCTCGGTGTGTGGCAGGACGTGGAAGGAAGTGCCGGTCAGACGGTGCCTGTGGGTGGAGCCGCGTACTACATGTCAGCTCCCAGCAACTTGGCGCAAATCTTGTACGATCCACTGCGTTTCGTTATGTACGTCATTTTTATCCTCGGTTCGTGCGCGCTTTTCTCCAAGACGTGGATTGAGATCTCGGGCTCGTCGGCTCGCGATGTGGCCAAGCAGTTGCGTGACCAGCAGATGGTAATGAAGGGCCACCGTGACTCTTCGATTGTGCACGTGCTCAACCGCTACATCCCCACGGCTGCTGCTTTTGGCGGCATGTGCATTGGCGCGTTGTCTATGGTTGCAGACTTGCTAGGCGCTATTGGCTCGGGCACCGGTATCCTGCTGGCTGTGACTATCATCTACCAGTACTTTGAGACTTTTGCACGGGAGCAAGCGGATATGCCGTTTAGCGGTCTCTTTGGATTTTAGTGCCTCGCTGGGACATGCAGCGTAATCCGCACAGCTAGCCAACAACGACAACGATGATCAAAGAGGGTATGTTCGTTTCCGTTCAAGGTGCTCTGCTGAATCAAAAACAAACAATGAAGGTGTCACCTCGCTGCTTGGTAAAGGTCGAGCGAAACGAACGTCGTTTTGGCTGCTATTAGGTGCGCGATGAATAGAAGATTTCCCACTTCATCGGGTTGTTGATGGTGTAGTTCTGGATGTGACGGTGCGCTCAGATGCAGATCAGGATTACATTAAGCAATAAAATGATTTCAACAAGCAGTGCATTTTGTAGTTGGCTCGTAGCGTAAGTGTAACATACTTGTTTCCTCACCAAGTCCCAAACTCACAGCGCTCGGCGGTTCGGGTGGGCAGGAGGGCGACTGAACTGACGAGGCGCACTTAAACTGCTGTCTGGGGACTCGAGAGGCCCTCCTGGACCGTGGAAACTGCTGCTGCTCGTGAAGGAGTTGCTCGGCCCGCACAGTCTACCATCACTATTTTGCACGAAGCTGTTTGAGCTGTTGAAACTATTGGCCCCATTGCTACTTTCGCGACTCTGACTGAGCTGTTTCGCCTTTGCGCCTGCTTTTAACGTCTGGTACCACTTGTCGTACTTGGCAATGCGGTCGTCCTATAGTACGTAGCAATGGTGAGTATCAACAACATTCAAACCGAGCTTTAAAGCAACGAGTGCGCACCTTCACCCTTGCCTCTTCCATCAGCTTAACGATCCGCGCCTCTTGCATCTTCATTTTACCTTCCAACACCGAGCTATCGCTGACAAAGAAGCAGTGAGTAAGTTTGTGCCCAGGACAGGTGCTAAGGTGCTACTGCTGCATTAACGCTTACCTTCCAGCGCTGTTTGGCTGTATAGAAGTTTGAGCTCCACTATTTCGTTGGCGTCGCCATTCCTCCAGAGCCCTCTTAATCATCACCAACTGAAAGCATGGACGTCGTTATCACTTTTAACTGACTTTCTACTGTCAAAAGACTCGAGTAACATACCTTCTGATTGTAGTCTTTCTTAAAAAGATCCATTGAGTCGCGGATTTCGCAATTTTCAGCTTGGACGTTCGCCAATGCCTCGCATTTCTACATAATGTTAAACATAAGTCAATTAAACAGCCCTCCATCGATATACTGAAACTGATACCAAGCATACCTTCACAAGCTTTGTGTTCTCGCTGCTTAGAGTCTTCACAGCATTAAGCAGTCTCATAATTTCCTTCTTCTGGTGGACAACCGTCTCCTGCAATCTATCATAATCTCCTTGACCATCAGCAGCTGACTTTTCGTCATCAACACATTGTCCGTCTTCATATCGATCAGGTGTTGATCCATTCTCGTTCAAAGGGGTACTTCCAGACCCCCGCTGACCTAGTAGACCTCGCCCGCCTAGTTGCTGCTCCATTAACCTACAAGATTCACAAAGTCTATATCATCGGTCACCTCGACAAACTTCCAAAGGTATCGTACCGTTGACGCTGATTCCTCATTCTAGATGCTACTGCTGCTCGAAGCGTCGAGCCCCCATCCACCGCAGTTGCCACCACTCCAACTGTTGCCCTATCACTATAGTCAGGTCTATATCCTCCATTACTCATTGCCATCACGTCACGTCGTACCTCGCTTTTGCTGGCAGCAAACAAAATGAATCTCCCAACGACGACGACAAATGCCGTGACGACATCAATAGATTCTGCAACACACACAACCGACAACCATTCACACATGATCATCATCTCCATCTCTCTCTTCCTTTTTCTCTCTCTTTTCTCTCTGTTCCTACCTTGTCCGCCGAGCCAGGACTGGACAATCCGATCGCGTTCAGCCGCCTCCAGAGCTCCTCCATTTCTGCTGCCGCAACATGCAGTTGCGTCTCCGCCTTTTGTCTCTCCTCTGGGTCCACATCTCCATCTGCAGTCGTCGTTTGCTCCTGCTCTATGATCACCTCTCTTTTGTCTTCAGTATACCGAGGCCCAGTCTTCTTCACCTCCGTCGTCATCTTTACGGGACTGGGGTTCCTGGCACGAGCCACCTTGGCCCTGTACTCGTAATTTTCCGCCAGTAGCATCAAAGCATCTATCGTGCGTTTATCTGAGACGCGCTCTGCCGCCTGCAGGAACTTTTCACTCGCCAAATGTCCTTCTTTTTCAGCCTGAACATACTATATAGAAAAATGACAATAGCAAAATGTTTTAACGTAATTTTCATTGCAAAGTAAAGTATTTTGGTGAATAAAACAAAGACAAAGACAGACGTCATCTCGGTGTAGAGCTGTTTCAGCACGAACGGCGTGGAAATGCGCCTGTACGGCCGGTGCCGAACTTTCGTACTCTTCTGTTTCTATAACTTTCCATCCCATGTTAATCTTGATCTGAGTAGGGAACGACGACAAGAAATGGAGCAATATGATTCGAGAAAAATAACGCATTATTGACGAATCCAATATCGCGTCTTTTCGCGTGTATGTGACATGTGAGAAGTTTTGCGGTACATGACCCAGTTCAAGCATTATAGAGTCATAGTCATGTAATACCTCGATGACCGTAGCAATAACATTAACAATCTTGGCCACTTGCTCATCGGTGGCTGACGTCACGTTTGTGTATGTAAAGAGAGGCGTATTGGAGGAGGCTAACATAGACGCTTTGCAGGTATCATTGGCCTATACAGCACAGTCACCGCTCTTATTTACGCTGTCGTGCATGGCCTCGGTCGACATGTCTTGCAGCTGTAGCTCGGTCGGAAACCAAAATACTTACGGGTTGCGTTTGAGGCTGAGACCGCCAGTGTCGTGGGACAGCATACCGTGTTAGACGCCGGTTTAAGTCGTCTAACACGGTATGCTGTACAGCAACAGAATCATTAAAGGCATTGGCTTCCTTTGCCACTGTGCCCGGTTCGTTTGCATAACCGGCGTGTCCACGCGTGAGCCTTTAATTGTCGCAAAGTAGCCATGCTTCTTCGCCTGTTCATTCGTGCGCAATGAACTCAACACGATATTGGCCAATTCAGAGAGACTTGGCTCACACGCCATGAAGGGGTTTCCAGTTAGGTCACACAAACGGTCAACCTCGTACGACATGTGGTCATCGTGGAACCGACCGACAAGGAGAAGAGCACCCGAGTTAGCATTGGCAGACTGACAATCCAGTAGCTCCTTTTAGTTTCTCGGAAGGGAGTAGCCGTTCGCTTTGCGGTCCTCGAGCAAGGACTTGCTAAAGTATCTCTTGCCACCACTTTTAGAAAGAAGTCCAGATTCTTGTTCGCAACGTACTGCGCAGCGATGTTACCTTCCGAGCCGCGGTCAATCATGTGAGAAGCGAACGAATCTGGCGTCGCAGAAGCAACACGGCATGTCACGATCATGCTAGTCACCATGCCACGTGCCTTGGCTGCTTCCAGCACAGTACCTAGAGGTTGTCAGTCTAAGAGCACCTCTTGTACACTAGTCGAGTAAGCAGTTGCGGCCGTCGCTGGGTCCGTGATGTAGCTCATGGACGAGTGCGTCTAGATAGTAGGTATGGATTTGTGTGAAGACGGGACCAAAGACTCGGATCGAGCCGACGGTGCATACGATATATACGTTGGGGCTTGTGCCGTCCGGGATCATCATGATGACACTGCGCGGCTCGCTTTCGTTCTCGTCGAAGTCGTAGTCCCACATCGACGGTCTTGTTCTCGAAGCAAGTAGCAGCATGGCAGCGGTCAAAGCCATTGCAGATGCTTGGTGCGTATGAACGTGTGAGAAATATTGCATCATGGACTTGCTTGCAACCTGTCCTGCCAAACGGATCGCCGAAGCTACGGGTATCTTCTAAGATAAATGAAGGCTCAGTTGCGGCGTATCAACGTCACTGCTTCACTTCACAGAGAAGATTTCTCGAGCTTTGCAGTCTTTTGATCGAGCCATCGTCTATCAAGAGACTACCTCTTGCTATTGCTGGTGCCACCCAAACACATTGCGATTCCATTGTCACTCATACTTTACAAGAAAGAATTGGTACATATTCTATCGCATTCTAATACTCGAAATGCTTGCTACAGTCCAAACTATCTTCGAACCTAAAGCAGCGCACACTTATACGAATGCGTCGAGTTGCAATGCGTGAACTAACTTGCCCCTATCTGGCGAGGAAGGACGTGCTTCGAGTTCGTACCTTGTCTGTCCAATTACATCCGAATATCACCCATTTGGTCACACTGTCCAGTTGCGAGTGACGTAAAATTCCGACGTCGGCGCTTCCAATGGCCACTCCTCTGCGCTGTGTGCCCGGGTTTTTCCTCATGAGCGTGTCTGACGAACCAGTAGATGAGAGGGGGGAACCACCCACACGCATGGGTCTCGTGGACGGTAAAGCCTGGACGGACGTCTATGCGTTCATGGACAAATTCGAGCTCCATCATCCTGGTCGACATATTAAGCTAGTGATTCTGTTACGACACGGAGAAGCCACGCACAATGCGGCAAAGGCCCTAGTGGGTGAAAAATTGTGGCAGCAGTATGAAATGCAACCCGAGTTCATTGATGCCCCGTTGACGGCCCACGGCCAGGACCAAGCCGATTCAGCCGCTTCGATGCTGGAGAAGCAGATTGCCAATTGCGGCCTTAAACTGCAACGGGTTTTCGTGTCCCCATTGGACCGCACGTTGCAGACGTACGAACGCGTGTTTGCCCGACTTCAAGACATCCCGGTTTCTGTGGTAGAGCTGGCCAGAGAGACATTGGGTGTTGTCAACTGCGATCGACGCAAGGTCCTGACCCCAAAGCAAGCAGCGTACCCCCATTTGGACTTTGATGAGGTGGCTAGTGAGGACGACACATGGTGGCAACCGGACCATCGAGAAACCAGCGACGAAATTGCTGCTAGAGCTGCAGAGTTTTTGAACCGAGCGTTTTACAAGTGTCCGGAGAGCTGCGCGCTTGTCGTTTCGCATAGCGGATTCAGTCGCGGATGTTTTGCTGCGGTAGGTCATCGCTACTTCCGACCGCGAAATGCAGAGTTCATCCCGTTGTTAATCACAGACGCAACCGAGGAGGAGTTGCAGCAAGATGCATAGCTTTTGTGTCCCTTGTATTCACAAACGGTCATCAGACTGATGCTGTACAGTGACTTGAATCGTGTTAATGAGTAGTAGAATTCACTGTTGCTGTTGATATTCTTTTACATATGCAGCCGATAAAGCAAATGGAGAAGAATGACATCCATCAGAAAGATGGCGTTACGTTGAGTCAGCTACCATCATCTATCGTCTTGCAACTTCCTGGAAAGTTTATCCTTCGAGTTGACCTTATCCTTTCGGCATTTCGTCTTTTCTCGGTTTCGAAGCAAACAAGTACCAATGCGTTTCTATCGAAGATTGATGCTGCTCTTTTGCGTGCTACTCGTGGTGGCAATTTCGGTCCGTGGTCAGCAGACCGCTTCATCTCGTTTCCGTTACAGCAACGGGTATTTTGTTCAAGGAGAACGTCATCACTATATCCCAACGACGAGCCCGCGTCGAATGGGACTTGTGGAAGGGAAGACCTGGCAGGACGTACACGCTGATTTAGACGAGAAGCGGCGAGATGGCGTCGAACTCAAGCTCGTTGTTTTCTTGCGTCATGGAGAAGGCATGCACAATGTCGCAATCGAGAAGTATGGCAGCGACGCGTGGAATACCTATTATTGCAAGCTACCAGAGTATTTGGATGCACCCTTGACAGCTAAGGGAGTCAAGCAAGCGGAAGAATCATCAAAAAGGCTCAATGCCGAGATTGACAATGGTTTGCAACTCCAGCACGTGCTTCTTTCGCCGCTCGAGCGTGCGCTGCAAACATTCACCATCGTGTACCAGAACCAGACGACCAAGATGAGCGTAAAACCATTAGAATTGCCTCGAGAGGTGCTGGGTGTCCACACTTGTGATGAACGTCGTGCCATCTCTGAGAAAAGGATGCAATACCCGGAGCTGGATTTCAGTGGTTTTAGATCCGATGAAGATCCATGGTGGACTCCAGATCACCGAGAAACGGATGTCGAGATTGAAGCCCGTGCAATCAAGTTCCTGGGTCTCATCTTTTCAAACACGTCGGCACAAAGTCTCGGTGTGGTTTCGCACAGTGTGTTTGGTGCTGCACTTCTGCGCGTGATCGGGCATCCTGAGTACAGCCTTGGGACGGCCGAATTCTTACCACTTCTCATTGAGAAAGTCACTACAAAGTAGCTTTTGACGCCATACAGAAATTACTCAATACGCCAAACGCGCTCCAAACGCGCAAACTCTCATCAATCTTAAGCACATACCAATACATACATCACTGCTAGGCAGGCAAACCGGCGCCATTTTGCAAGTTTTTTTCATCTGAAATCGATTTCCTGGGCGTGAAATGTTTTGAGAAGTCAGACTCCGAGCCATCAGACTAACAACTCATGTCCTGGTCAAAACCACAGCTGCTGCATTGCCAGTAATGTACAAGTAAATGCATGAGACTAGGCGTGTTATGGTATGAATGCATGAACGATCGGCGATTTTATTGTTAACGGAGTGTCAAGATCCAATCATCTTTAGTTCGTGAATCGGCAACGTCAATATAGTTGAACCTGCATCGTCAGTCGTGACGAGGGTCGTAGATGTTTCTCTTTTGCTTGTCGTGTGTGGTCCGATGCGGACAATTATACGCAGGTGGTGAATCATGTCGATCGGTGAAATGCTATCCGGAGTGCTTGCGAATGAATGCTGACTGAGTTGAACACAGTTCTTATCAAGATAAATGACCAGCGTAAAGCCGCTATTGGGTGATGTTTGCACTCGTATTGTGCGAGGTACACGTTAGGCTTTATTCCGGCTCCCCCGGCACCGGTCAAGCTAGTCGCTATGTTGGTGTTGTCTCGGGAAGAGTTGCCGACGCTGGCACGTATATCACAAGGTGTCGGTGCTGCTGCGGCCATCGCTCGTATAATTCCGACTAACCACTTGTCGTATTCGAGCGAGTTGGATGCGCGCATGACTAGACATGTGTGGGGTGGGCTGCCGTACCGGAGACGGATGGTATGATGAGATGCTTCTTTGCGGGAACACTGTACAAGCCTCACGGTCGAGTCGATCGGGACCGTTAAAGCCCCGCCTGCAATGCGTGGGCGCCGTATAATGAGATGCAAGGTGGCTGCTTGGATTGAGCTATCAGTCCAGACAGTTTTCAGGGGTGCCATTTGCACCAGGTACACAGTACTCAAGAACCTGCAAAGCACACCAACACGAAACAATCTAATCACATCGATTCCAGAACCGATAAACGCCACAAAGTAGGTGGCGATGGTGAAGAGAGCATGCATGCATGACACGACGTACCAAAAAAGACCGCACGACTGAACGTAAAACTTGCCGCATGTCATCGTGGTAGGCGTTGGGTAGTTGGTAGTGTTGGAGATATGCTTTGGTTGCTGGGTTGGTCCGTAGCTCGAGTTGGTCTGAAGCGAACAGATCGAGGAATGACAGGAGCTTTCATACACTCGAAACCAAGTCATCTATCCTAGCAGCACAGAAATCAATGATGCTATACAAAAGAATGGCAATATTGCTGGAAGCTTAACGCAGTTCTTGGACAGCAACGACAAGGCCACACAAAGTCTTGACAAGGACGGACACCACTGGCTGCATTGGAACGTGTACACTCGCAGTCCGCTACGAAATAATGATCAGGGCGACAAGATCAAGTAGGCGTCATCTCACCATTGGGCGACCTTGCATTGTCGAGCAGGAAAGAGGCAGTCACTCAGCTTAGATTAATTGATCTTTGAACGTCTCAACTACTGGACCCACATGTGTAACTCAAGCCGAGTGGGAGGACAAAGCCAGCAGATTTAATGGTACAGACGGTCCTCAAGTTGAAGTGTCAGTCAAATGTGTGGTCAGAGTGGTTTGTACTGCTGTTGGTGTTGACAAACCAGGTGACTGACATCCACCAAGATGTTATCGCGACTACTACAAGTCCGGACGTGATTGATGTTGTTCATTACTAACGATATCTGCAAGGCAGGTCCACGAACAAACATTCCATTAACTTTATCTATTCTAGTGCAGCAAAGTACTTGCGCAAGTTTGGTAGTTAGCAACTCAAGTCTAGTAGTGTTCTAGCTTGTATGTCGAATTCCTGTATTTCCAGTTGCGTGCCATCGACACCTTCTTTGGCATAAAAGTAGGACGGCTTGATCGTATCAATACAGGACCAAATGTTGACTTCCATCCTTCAATTGTGGGTGTTTATAAATGCGTGCCAGTGATACTAATTCGTCGATGTGTAGCTTGCTCATGAGATCGCCAAGAGATCCCGGACGTGCCTGCATTACAAACGTCACTATGTGATGCTAATCATCCAAGTTAATTCCATCGGCAGGAATCGAGATACCATGCGTCGTGAAAACCACAATTTATTTGTTTGTAATGCATTTCTTCCTTCATCTGAAAGGATCTAGCCATTTATAGATACCAATGTCGAGACGGATACAGTAGATTAAGATTCGTTGTCATCGAAGCATTAGCCACACGTTCTCGCAAACCTGACGCCACGTACCAACAATAACTGCATCTCTGTTCCCACATCAATTTGGTATACATATCAGTATTAAGTTACAGTTACCAAAGGAGTAAGTCGCGCCAAATATGCGGGACATTAACTATATTCTTAATGGACATGTTCGACAGAGCCACCACAGCCACCGCAAAGGGCCACGTTAGTAACGGTTAGTAACGTACAAGGTCATATCTTTCGTACCTCAACTAGCCTCAAAAGACCCAATGTAGGAGACCATCACCTGATTCGGACCGGAAGTCCGAACGTTTCACTGCTCTTCACCGAAACTTGATGTCGCTTACCAAGTTCTTCCTGTACACACTTGGTTCCTTCATTTCCTAATTTGCTCACTCGAGAAAACCTCGACCAAGTATCCAGGCACCAACGATCTTCCCTACGCAAGATCTACGATCATCACCGCAATGAGGTGTGGAAAACTCTCTGTCCAATCGTGCAGCCTCCTGTGGTAAGTTTTGTGTGTGTCCGTATGAGCTGTCCGTCCACCTCGCGTACTCACACTTCTTGGTCACATTTCTCAATTCATCGTTGCAGGTTCCTCAGTTCCGTATGTCTGGTGTGCACCGCGCAACCGAAACTAGCAGCTTCTCGTGCAGCTTTCCACCTCATCATTCGGCGTCCACGTGTTGCAGGTGGCACGTTGACGATCGCTCTTGACTCGACCGTGAAGTTTGTCAAAGGTCTTCGCAAAGACATAAAGCATCATATCATTCGTCTCCAGTATGGCTCAAACGGTAAAATCCTTACCATGCGTGCATCAAGTTCACAAGAGCGCGAGTACTGGGTGGCCGCAATTACAGCAGCAATGTCGACATCTATCCACCCTCGACACGGACCTGCTTCTCGCACTGGAAACGGGTCGACCATTTTTCAGAGCTTTCGGACGACCAAGTCGCAGCCAACCACCTATGGTGCTCCAACGCGCGGCGATTCTCTTCTTCGAGTGGTACGACAGAATATACCGGCTGCCATTCAGCTCTTCCTCACCGTCGGTCAGATCATTGCAGCTGCCCACTAGAAAGCTTTTTGCGTCTGCAGTCGTAGCACTCTCTCAACTCTTTTAACACATGTAGTCTCAGTCGACCGTTACACGATATCTGTTTACAAAATAAATTCCCGAGTAAGCATATTACGAGTTTCAGGTTATCGTTGTTCGTTCTATCGGTGTTATAGTAGAACTCTCCATCACTATTCTCACCAGAACACTTCATTTTCTTTGGAGAGCAGCACGTGGACAGGTGGCTGATGCACACATAAATGAATGAGCAGCTAGAAGAGTGCATGTCAAGTTATTTTTCTTCTTGCCTCTTCAAGGGAAGAGATTCAGAACGTGGCTGAAGTTACGTATGGCACTACAAGTTAGGAGATACTATGTCTCATTGGCTGAGTACACAAGCGTCGTCCTCATTAATTTGGTATAGAACAAGCCGAGAGAGTATTCGCGGGGACTAGTAAAGAGCTGAAGAGAGGTCTTTTCAGCTTCTTACCTTAGTGGAGATGGAGGAAGTTGCAGTGTCTTCACTGGAACGCACTATACACTTCATGATGACGTGACATACATTACTCGAAGCGGTAGATCGATAGCTTCGAAAGAGGGTCGGCACTTGCACGTGGAACTTACGATGAACATTTGTATCTAAGATTAAGCAACATTTCTACCATCGACTTCAGCACAAATTGGAGTAATGTAGATCCGTTTGAGCTTCCGATGATTGGGCTGCTGCCCTTTGACGACAAAGTACGACATTATGAGTCACGTCTTCGACAGCCAAAAAAGACCACACGTTGGTGAAGTAGCTCGTAGTGTAATGATGAAAAGCAGACACGAGAGTGTCGTTACAACAGAAATCATTCGGTCCTTCTCCAGGACGCAGCGTCCAAAAGTTCCCTCACTTCGCTCTGGCACGAGCTAAATGTAGCCGTAGCTCTCTAGAACAGCTCAGTATCTCTGTCACACAGCACGTTGTGGTAAACTTCGATGTGTAGATCGTTGATGTTTGGTAATCGACCATGCAAGCCTCACTTAAGCTAGTAAATCGAAGTGAAGCAGCGTAGCAATTCAAATGTTAGCTTTCTGTCAGTGTCTGCAGTAGCGACACAGTATCACTTCGCGACAGAAACAACCGCTTCGTCACTCACTTCTATACTAGTTGTATTGTAGCTGGATGCCAAGACTTGCGGGAGGATTCTCGTTTCCAAAGACACTAATTTCCACTTCATCCTTTCACCCTCCTCTGCCAAAATATGCAGCATCTGTCTTCAAAAGTTGCTGAAAACTTTCTACTTTATATACATTCCTCTTTATCTATTGCATTTGTGCAACAACTTCGACCACTTTCATTCTTCAAAGTCGAAATAGTGTCCGACCAGAAGGAAGATATAGCGATCGGATGGCTCAAGCAATTGTAGACACGGTGCGGCCACAAAGCTGCAAACGCACAGTCTTGCCGAACACCAAATCGATCAAGTAATGAATGAACCTAATTCTATATAATAGCCCCATGTCATAATTCCTCGCAACTTGCTGCCACCATATCAACACGTGAAGCGCTACAACTGGCCCTCCATGTTTAAGCATGATTGCGCACTAGAGCGAAGCAATAAAGTACCCCTTTCAGTAATTAATACCGTCCTACTACTGCATGTGGCGAGAGCATCTACGTTAAAGTTGTGGCTGTCCGAAACGATGACACGGGTTACCAATCGAATCCAAAGTCACAAATTGGTGATTGGGAGGCTTAGATCGACCACTGTTGTTTGCTACATCGACATAAAGCCAAGTAAATGGGCAATACATGGTAATAAAGCATGGTCTACCGAGAATCAAACGTACGGCAACAACACCTTTGGTCGATCTACCGACGCCCTTTTTGTAAGGTACACGCTTTTTACCTGACATGGCTCTTGGTGCTGAAGCCGCAAAAGCTAATGCAGTGCTTGACAGAAGTAAGTCTTTCGTAATCAAGAGCAATATCATAGTAAGCACCTCACTGAACTAGATACAATGAGCTACAGGTTACTGGAATGCAAGTCAAAGCGTGTAAAATCAATTGGTCTGTCCATGGCATAACAAGTGTCACCTGCAAATTCGACCGGCATGTAAAGAGGTCTCATTCCTAAAGAAGCTAGAAAAAGCTCACGTTTATACAAAATACGTTCTGCCGTTTATTACCGTGTCAATTTGCTTAATTAATGGGATATCTCAATCGAAGATATAGTTTATCTGATTGATGACGTCGTCTCGACAAGTGGTATCTATAAATGGCTCACAAGTCCAGATCCTTACAGAGCGGCAATAAGTTTCAGTTACCAAAGCGGTAATGCGTTACAATTATTAAAGCAGTAATGAGTTTCAGTTACCAAAGCAGTACGTCGAGGTAAATATGCAGGACATCAACTATATTTTTGATGTACATATTCGACAGAGTCGCCACAGCCACCGCAAAAGGCCACGTTAGTAACGGTTAGTAACGTACAAGGTCATATCTTCCGTACCTCAACTAGCCTCAAAAGACTCAATGTAGGAGACCATCACCTGATTCGGACCGGAAATCCATCAAAATAAATATGTTTGACTGCTCTTCACCGAAATTTGATGTCGCTTACCAAGTTCTTCCTGTACACACTTGGTTCCTTCATTTCCTAATTTGCTCACTCGAGAAAACCTCGACCAAGTATCCAGGCACCAACGAACGTCCCTACGCAAGCTCTACGATCATCACCGCAATGAGGTGTGGAAAACTCTCTGTCCAATCGTGCAGCCTCCTGTGGTAAGTTTTGTGTGTGTCCGTATGAGCTGTCCGTCCACCTCGCGTACTCACACTTCTTGGTCACATTTCTCAATTCATCGTTGCAGGTTCCTCAGTTCCGTATGTCTGGTGTGCACCGCGCAACCGAAACTAGCAGCTTCTCGTGCAGCTTCTCGTGCAGCTTTCCACCTCATCATTCGGCGTCCACGTGTTGCAGGTGGAACGTTGACGATCGCTCTTGACTCGACCGTCAAGTTCGTCAAAGGTCTTCGCAAAGACATAGAGCATCATACCATTCGTCTCCAGTATGGCTCAAACGGTAAAATCCTCACTATGCGTGCATCAAGTTGCCAAGAGCGCGAGTACTGGGTGGCCGCAATTACAGCAGCAATGTCGACATCTATCCACCCTCGACACGGACCTGCTTCTCGCACTGGAAACGGGTCGACCATTTTTCAGAGCTTTCGGACGACCAAGTCGCAGCCAACCACCTATGGTGCTTCAACGCGCGGCGATTCTCTTCTTCGACGATTGGTGGGACAGAACATACCGGAAGCCATGGAGCTCGTTCTCACCGTCGGTCAGATCGTCGCAGCTGTCTACTAGAATGCTTTGTACACACGATATCTGTTTACAAAATAAATTACCCGAGTAAGCATATTACGAGTTTCCTGTTGTCGTTTTTCGTTCTATCGGTGTTATAGTAGAACTCTCCATCACTATTCCCACCAGAACATACAAGTTTGTTTGGACAGCAGCATGGCTGATGCAGACATAAATGAATGAGCAGCTAGAAGAGTGCATGTCAAGTTATTTTTCTTCTTGCCTCTTCAAGGGAAGAGATTCAGAACGTGGCTGAAGTTACGTATGGCACTACAAGTTAAAATATACTATGCTCATTTGCCGAGGAGACTTTATAATTGCCGGCCGAATTTGTAACTAGATACTTGTTATGCCATGGAAAGACCAATTGATTTTACACGCTTTGAGCTTGCATTCTAGTAACATGTAGCTCATTGTATCGAGTTCAGTGACTGAGCGAATGGTGCTCACTATGGTATTGCTCTTGATTACGAAAGACTTACCTCTGTCAAGCACTGCATTAGCTTTTGCGGCTTCAGCACCAAGAGCCATGTCAGGTAAAAAGCGTGTACCTTACAAAAAGGGCGTCGGTAGATCGACCAAAGGTGTTGTTGCCGTACGTGTGATTCTAGGATAGACCGTGCTTTATTATCATGTATTGCCCATTTACTTGGCTTTATGTCGATGTAGCACACAACTGTGGTCGATTTAAAGCCTCCCATTCAACAATTTGTAACTTTGGATTCGATTGGTAACTCGTGTCAACGTTTCGGACAGCCAATTCTAATGTAGAAGCTCTCATGATTCTATTCTAAAAAGCCACTTGCATGACGCACGCAGCAGTGGATACGTGACAGAATCAGCCCGTGGCTTGCTATTTTGGATATGAAGATCGAAAGCGTTTCTACTATCTCGCTCGAGACTTAACATAAATGCGGTGAGCACTTTGTCACCGAGACTTGGTGAAGATGGCGACCCAATTTATCGTTAAACAATTTCCAGCCTTCCATTGTAACACACAATAGAAGATAGTTAACTGCGTCGGACGATTAACGTTGAGTCAGTGCCATTGTAGCAATGACTACCGAACACAGCATTGGTATTGAAGATAACGAGAAAAATTGCCCCAGCGGTTTGTTTCGACCTGTGTACTGTAGTTCCTGTATATCATCTCCCGGACGAGAATATCAAATCAACCCACCATTAAGTATGGCAATATCTGTCACGCAACGTGTCATCATGCATCTGTGAGTGGAACTTTCAGCGTACCATTCACACATGCACCTTAAGGCAGTCCCGGGTTCTTATCCATAAAATTCGACCTTTGGAGTCTACAACGCGACATCATATACAGATTGCGAGACTAGAATCCACGAAAAAATACGTTAAAGCAAGGAATCGAAAGCGCCAAGACCTATGTTTGGGCTTTACGCGTGATGCTCCTACATAAACTCGGAATCTACGTCATCAAAGTACGGGTGTCGCAGCGCCTCTTTTGCACTGATTCTCATAGACGGATCGTAATGCAACATGAACTTACCAAATCACACCAATGCAAGTCAGCCAAAAACCCTTTCAAGTCATTATACAGATCGGTATCCGTACCTCTAGCAAATTTAGTCCACTCTCGTCTAGCTGAGAAAATAGCTCTCTCATGTTTTTCTTCTTCCACTTTGGGAATGTAGGCGCGTAGTCTCGAAGTTTTGTAACACCTGGCCACGACGCTTCATTCGGCGTACCAAAAGTCCTGTTAATCCATTGCAGCAAAAAGTCAGCGACATCTGGCCAAATCCAGAAATCAACAAGGAAGCATTCACCTAAAGATACGATAGAGTTGATCGATCTCGGAGTCACCTGGGAAGAGCGGCTTCTTCAACACCATCTCGGCAAAAATGACTCCGACGGACCATATATCAACAGGGGGTGAGTATACTTCCTGGCCGAGCAAGATCTCGGGCGCTCGATACCACAGCGTGACTACCTCGTGTGTGTACTTTTTAATCGGGAGACTAAAAGCTCGTGCTAAACCGAAGTCGGCAATCTTTAGCTCTCCCGTTGCGTTCACCAGCAGGTTCTGCGGCTTTAAATCTCTGCAGCAAGTAGCAATAGCAACAACAAAGAAACGCCGTCAGAGCACAACCGGCGGATTTTTGTCGCCTGCACGCACCGATGCATGATGCCGCGCGAGTGCGAGAACGCGAGTCCCTTCAACAACTGGTACAGAAAACTCTGCAATAAAGCGGTCAGTTAGTCTATTCGTCTGCTAGTAATCTCTGTCTCTAGCTTCACTCGTAACCAACATTTGCAGACCTTAATCTGACTGGGCTCGAGCTTGCCGATCTTGTGCTCCATGTGCCTTTTCAAGTCCTTATCCATAAACTCAAACACGAGAAAGAGTTTGCCGTCCTCCTGTAAGCAGTCTAATAGCCTACAAACAACAGATTAGTCTTAGTATATAAGAAGAAGCAAATCGTTCTGCTGTGGTTGTGGCCTTGCCTGACAATGTTCGGGTGCTCGAGCTCGCGCAACACTGAGATCTCACGCAGTGCCGTGCTGGGGATACCGTCGTCCTCGGTTTCTAGTCGAATGCGCTTCAGTGCCACCACTTTTTTAGTCTTGAGGTCCAGTGACTTGTACACGACGCCGTATGTGCCTTCGCCAATGGAGCCGCCCTTCTCAATGCGCTGATACCGTTCCATGGCTGCAATGAATAGAAATTGAAAAAAGGAGTCTTTCAACTCCCGCGCTTTTTACCGGTATTTTTAGAGCCTGCTGGTTGAAGTGGAGCTTAAGTACCTAATGAGTTTGATGTGGGCTACATGCACTTCACAAGTCGTCCTGACTTTGGCTGCGTGTAGAAACAGTACAGTTTACCTACCGGTAGACAAATGGTTGGTCTAGGAAAGTCAGTACAGAGCCATGCTACGAAGGAATTGTGGCCCGTGAGTGTAGGTCACCATCATTCCTGTGCAGATATGACCTGTCTTGTTGCATGTCCTCCACATACTGATTGCAAAGTACAGTATTCGTTTGCGAGTGACTTGTTTCAACTAGGATCATTCATTATTCAAAAAGCCGCACGTGGCCCACTCCCCCCACCCTTTACCAAGGAAGCAGCTCAAGAAAAGCAAACAAATAGGGAGACTATGTCTTTCTAAGTTGGTGTGTTTTTTATTGCGTGGTGATCAAGATGATGTCTTGAAGATCGGTTTTCAGCTCCTCTGTCTGTTTATAACATGGATATAAACTTAGAGAAGATGACAACAACGTTTGAAGAACGAACGGAACGTTAGAAATGAGGATGACGTAGCACAGAGTTAGGAGAATGGTTCCCTAGAATGAAGAAGTAAAGAAAAGAAAAGAAGGAGAAGAGGAAGAAGAAGTGATACAATCATTGAAATAACAAGTGGTAGCATGTTGCACGACTTGGAAGAAGCGACGACTTGGCTGCGTATGGAAAAGGCAATGAAGAACTGGGATGACTGGCTGTTGGATCATCCATTGAAGCTCGTGGAAAAGGAGGACGATGGAATAATGGCCCATGATGTGGACGATCTGTCAGCGATCTTTAAAGGTCTTGTGGATGGAGTGGACCTCTTACTGCCCTGTGACGACCTGGAAGAGGACATTGCTAGTGGTGACGCGAGTGTGGCTTGGATTGATAGTCTAAACGAGGATGTGGTGAACATAAGCGACCTTTCGGCTGCGTTCGACACGTTGGTGCAGGAGCAACAGAATATGGCGGAGGTTTTGGAGGAATGTGAGGATGAGGAAATGGAGGAGGATGATAGCGACGACGAGAGAATGTTTGACGTCAAAATCGTCCCTTCTGCTCCGGTGGGCGTGACCATGGCCCCGTTGGACCCTCGTTCTTGTATCCGCACGCCTGTGTTCCAGAACCTGGATTCACGAATACCACGCATCCAAATACCTCGGATAGACTTGTCTTTTTCGGTCAATAGTGTTACTCTGAAGGATGCTGGTGTCCCTGACGCTGGTCGATTGGAGCAATCGATGTCGCCGAAGAGCGAGAAGGCCAAGGTTGCCAAGTACCACCACGATCCCAAGACGTGCTGGATCTGCAAGAGCTCGAAGACTTTGGAGAAAAAGCGCGCGCTGCATCGATTTCACGAAAAACGGACGCGCCGTAATTGGAAACGGGGTCCGCGGTACACTGGCCGCAGCAATGTGGCGACGTCTCGTGTGCGCAACGGCGGCCGATTCATTTGCACATCACAGTGGATCTGAGTTTATTGTAAGCCTTCAAGCTGGTTTGATAGTGTCCACTTTTTTCTTTTTCACTTGGAGCTTTTCTCCATGCAGTTAGTTCTTCTTTCAGTTGGTTGTACCCATTTCTAACGAATGCAAGTGTGTTTATCATTTCTGTAAGATCAAGACAAAGGTGGCCTTATATATTGTGGCATATGGTGTGGTGCACATCGTCTTACTTAACAAAGCTGACAATTACAGAAGAGTGCCACGTACAAAAATGGTGAGAAGCTCCGCTAAGTGCTCGGCACCCTTCCCACCTCACTCTCTAAGCTGCTATAAGAGCTAACGTCCGTATCTTTTTTCTTTGTCTTTCTTCTGTATTGTTCATATGATGTTGCACAGTCGAGTAAATTTCTAAACGATAAGAAGAAGAAACTACAGGCCTTTAAGAATACGACCAATACCAAGTACGTGGCTGGCTACTCGGCAACTTTGTGTGTGTATTTAATTTGATAGATTATTAACTGACTATGTGCTGCTTGGTTGAATATAGCGACTCTATGGCCAAGTCGTACCTGGAGAAGTTTAGCTGGGACTTGATGCGTGCAGTCGACGGGTTTTATGCTAACGAAAGCGAGATTTTTACACTTGCGTGCGTATTTAGCTGTGGATAGAGAGAGCTCTCAGTGGACGATACAACTGACGATGTCTCTTACTGTTGATAGTAAAAAGTCGACTATCTCAATGGAGAGGGTTAACGCGTGGTTCGATAGCTACATAGGTGCGAGTGCAGTGTTGCTGTCGTCGTTACGACTGAAAGCTGACTAAATATCATTTGTTCTTGATGTAGACCCTGACGATGACGAAGATAGTATCAATGAAGAGGGTATTCTGAAGTTCTGCGACGACATTGGCGTAGACCCGCAAGATATTGTAGTGCTGGTGATTGCATGGAAGATGCAAGCTGCCTACATGTGTGCGTTTACACGTAGAGAGTGGCAAAAGGGTATGCAGGAAATGGACTGCGATTCTGTCGCCAAGCTGAAGGCAAAGCTTCCTCAGTTGCGTCAAGTTATCACAAGTACGACGGAATTTAAAAAGTTCTACAGCTTTTGTTTTGGCTTTTCGAAGGAACCCGGTCAGAAGAGTCTCAGTATCGACATTGCCGTGGCCATGTGGGAGCTACTACTGTCGACACGCTTTGAAAAGCTGATGAAAAGCTGGTTGGCCTTTTTAGCGGAGAAGAAGCCGGTAAAAGGCGTGACGCGCGACACGTGGGACCTCCTTTTTGACTTTTTTGTAAAAGTACGCGACTCCTACGCCACTTACAATGAGAATGAAGCCTGGCCTGTGCTTATTGACGACTATATGGTATGGATAGACAGTAAAAAGTAACATTACTCATTTGGTACATATTGTAGTTAGCATCAAGACACTTTAACAAAAGTACTCGTTTCTATCCGGATGCGTCCGGATAACCCAAGCAGACTTTCGATCTGGTGTAATCAACACAAACGAGCCATTTTGATGATCTTCGACATTCATTCCTTAATTGGTCGAAAGAGCCATGGACTTGTCGTCGTTGGAGATGCTCCCTACGTGCACCTTTTTTCCTCGTGACTATATGCAGCAATATAAGCAACAAGTCAAGGAGCTTATGAAGCGTATGGAACGTCTATTAGAAGAAGAGGAAGCTTTAGAGACAGACAAAGACGCGGTAGATCATAGTATTCAAGTGATTGCACTTTCTAGTGAGACAGTGTGGCAGAATCTTGCGGCTCTTCAAGATTGCCACGTCCTGGTAGACGAGACACTGACGTTGTTCAAGTTGAAGATCCAGGAGAGTGTTGCACTTGTAACTGCCGATCCATCAGTACTCGAGAGGATGTCGTCCATCCCCATATCAGAAGAGTACAGTTCCTCGGACGACATGGACGAGACAGACGAGGTGGCATTTCAAGATGTTGAACCTGTGAAAGGTCGTAAAGCAGCTGTTGCATTGAATAATGACGTGACAGAGAGGGTCTACCAGGCCTTACAAAATGAAGAAAAATTTAAGCAGTTTAAAGCCAATGCACTAGCATTTGGTATGGGCAACACCATACCTGAGACTTTCTATACCTATTTGGCACAAGAGATTCCAGCACCGGTACTGGATTCCATTGTCGTGGATTTTGCACGATTGTTACCACAAGTGGGACTGCGAGTACCGCTGTTAAAAGCACATTACGACCATATGAAGAATCATCTTGCGAGACCGAGCATAGCCGTGTTTCGTAACAAAAGTTACAGTCGAGCTGTTACGTTACGAACTTCAACATCAACATCAAGTACGTCACTGATAATGGACAAAAAAAGGGGGAGATTCGTTGTCTGATTGTAGGTTTTTTTTTCTACTATGATTACAGGTGTAGACGAAGCGGGTAGCAGTAATGAAGAAGACGAAGAATATCCATCGACGGTATCTATTTTTTTATCTATTTCTTATGCTTTTTATAGGCAGTGTCAATGCTAATGTAGTGCTTACAACTGGTTGCTGGCAGATTCGACTTCGATCGTTTAATCATCTTGTTTTTGTCATCCATGGAATTGGACAACATATTGATTTTCGTGATGGAGAATTCAAGTCATGGAATGGAGAAACTGGAATTGAAGGTGGCAATCACGCTTTTCGAGATATTTTCCGTACGATGCTAGAAACAACCTTTCAAAATATTCCCATGGCACTGGAAATGCAGTCAATTGAGTGGCATGAAGATCTTCATGAACCAACGGGCTTGGACAATATTTTTGATTTGATCTCTCCGGAAGGAGCGTCCGCGTACGTGCTTGATCATTTCCGTGTCGGTGACATTTACCAGAAAACACGGTACGAAGTGTAACATGTTGTGCTTGTAAATTTTTTCCAGCATTCGTGAATTCAACAAGGAAACCTTCATGGACGTGCTTTACTATTTATCACCACGGTATGGTCAACTTATTGTGGATTCGGTCACTAAGCAACTCAATGAAAAGTATCGTGTTTTTATAAACGAACACCCGGGTGCGTTTACACGGAGCATCGGATTGCTGAGCTCGGTATTATGCCTCGTGTACATCTAATCTTCAATTTTTGCATCTAGGTTGGGATGGCAAAGTATCAATATTCGCTCACTCGCTTGGCTCAATGATTTCGTATGATATTCTAACACACAAGTCAGGCGAAATCGCCAGTAATGGCGTTCGTTTCCCTGGACTTGAGTTCGAAGTTGACAATTTTTTCGGAGTCGGGTAAGGTTGTTGCCAGTGCCACCCTATCGTGAATTAATGTGATTACTAATGGCATTGTACCGTTCTGATAGTTCTCCGGTCGGAGTAATGATTTTGGCGAGAGGAGATCTCAATATCAATGATGGAGAGTTTACTCCTGGAATCAAGATTCCAAATTGCCGACGTTATTTCAATCTATACCACCCGATCGACCCGGTTGCGTACCGTATTGAACCATTAATCAAGCAAGAAATGCATGATAAGGAACCAGTGCAGTTGATGCAGGTACTAGAAGAGTTGAATCTCACGTGTTGGCTGACCCATGACAGCTCTCCATTTCGCTAACCGCCCTCTTGTCGTTGATTGTTGCTATGCACAGTATAGTGCTGTAAAGGATCAAAGCTTCGGTCAATTGCAGGAGGTATGGGAAGGCCTGACTAGCCCGGTGCACGGGTTTCCGTATCGCCACGACTACGTTATGCGGCGTCGTAAACGTGAACAAGGTATGATGGAGGTAGCTTTCGCTGCTGCCTCCCATTCGTCGTATTGGATGAGCGATGATGTTGTCCTCTTTACTCTCATGCAGTTGTGTGAGCCGGTGGTTGATATCCTGCACCGGTACATGAGTGCAATGGTCCCTCTACCAAAGCTTGTCAGAAGTATTGTGGAGCTCACGCCGCACGCGAAGGTATTATTATCTGCGACAGCCCTCGTTCGCGACCGATGCACGGGTCTATCACGCGAGCATATCGTTTTGATCGACAAGGATCGCCTGTTTTTCCTGTCACGACTCAGTGAGGTTGCCTGTCGTCGAAAGTGGCGACTCAAACTCACCGCGATTACAAGAGCCATGTATGGTGACGACCCATTTATGATGAAGATTGTCACGAGCGATGCTTCCGCTTCATCGTCACCATCCGCTGCATCGCCAGCATCGAATAATAATGCTATCCTTCCTGGCTTACACGTTTTCAAGGCATCATCAACGCCGGATCGTAATGCATGGCTGGAGGCAATCAATGAGACAGTTGCTATAGCTGCTGATGAAGAACGTTTTGGTGGTGAGGTTCCCCGCGATACTACAAACCTCGTCGATCTTCCAACTGGAAAGAGCATAGATTATTTCAATGCAATCAAGGCTGGTTTTCTAAAAGAAAAAACCGCAAACGGGTGGTACGATTCGTGGAATGACCGGTGGCTAGTTCTACAAGAAGATCATTTGACGTGCTATGAAAATTCACCGAAGCTTGATTTTGTTGGACAGTTTCCACTTCGAAAGACAAAAGCGTGTTGTTATGAGCGCGAATATCTTATCCGTGTGGTAGCTCGTCGCGGAGCTGCATGCGAAATGCGAGTGCAGAACCAAGAATCGTTTGACCGTTGGGTAGAAGTGCTTGCAAGAATTCCCACGGTGGAAATTATCCGTCATGAAGATTTGTTGGAGAACAGTCCGTCTTCAGTGCTTATCATGTCTGAAAACTCGAGAGAGAGCTTTGGTGAAGCCCAAAACGCAGGCCAAGCTGGCGAATGGCTCAAAACGAAGATCGAAGGATACCAAATCAAGCTGGATGAGAGTGACCAGGAATATGTTGCTTTCGTTATCCAAGTTGCATCGTCAACTGCAGGCAACAGCGTCGTTCAACGGCGGTACTCCGAGTTCGCCAAACTGCACCACCAGCTGCGCAAAATGTTTCAACACGAGCAGATTCCTGCACTACCTGGTACAAGAATGTGGAACAAGTTTGAGCCTAACTATTTAAAGCAGAAGGCTGTCGCACTTCACGGCTATCTCAACGAGGTATGCAAAAGATGTGCGAACACACGTGCATTACCACTACTTTTGGAGTTTTTAGAGCTCGCACCGCCAGCTTCTTTAGATGATCCAAAGACATCTCCGAAGGAGGAGAACGCAGAAAAAATGAATTGAGACTACGGATCAGAAGAGCTAGGTGGATCGAAGTCGTGGATAGAAGATGCAAAGCTTTGATTGTATTCGAGCTTTGTGAGTCAGCGTCGTAAAGCAAGACTTCGACTTAGCCGATCAAGTGCTGCCTTGTTAGTTGTCTTGGATCGTGAACTGCGCACACAAGGGATCGGACGTTGCACCGCTTTCGTCGTAGACGTTGCAGTCCGTCTCAGGTTTCATAGCGATGAAGTACTTACCCGCTTCAACAACGCGGAGAAATCCAGAGCCGATTTGCGGGTTGAACACTCCCCAGTCTTCGTGAGTAAGAGTAAACGACACCACTCGAGTCTCGCCTGGTTGAAGGTAAATTTTGGCAAACTTTTTCAGCTGCTTGGCCTCCGGTACAGAGATCGCGCGGAATGGTTGAATGAGGAACAACATCACTGTCTCCTTGCCTGCCATCGAGCCAGCATTCGTGACTGACACGCTGATCTCGAGCGAAGCATCATCGCTGTTCGAGATAGAGGTCTTGCTCAGTGTCAACTCGCCATACTTGAACGCAGAATAGCTCAACCCGTGTCCGAAATTCCACTCCATCTTGCACGGCCCGTCATCACGGCAGCGTGTACTTACGAGGTGATTGTAAGGAATCGCGATGTTGGCTGAAGTCTTCGGGTACGTGATGGGAAGTCGGCCACTTGGATTTACGCGTCCGAATAGAATTTCGGCCAGTGCTTGGCCACCCAGTTCACCCGGGAGCATAGCGTACACAACAGCATTGACAATTTCAGCGAGACCCTGAAGCAATCGAGGACGGCCTTGAGCTAAAACGAGAATCACCTTCGTACCAGTGGCAGCAATCTCACGAACGTACTCGATTTGACCCAGTGGCAGGTTCAGATCGTCCAGATCACCAGGCTTCTCCGCATACACGTCCTCGCCAATGGCAACAATCGTGTAAGATGATTTCTTGGCCAGGTGCTTCGCTTCCTCAAGATCGACCGAAGAGTAAGAACCATTGGGGTGCAGGCCGTTGGCATAGTGAAGGGTACTTGTATTCAGCACATTTGTGATACCTTGTCGAAGCGAGATGCCGTTCGGTATGAGTTTGTTGCCCGACACGCCTTGCCAGCGAAGCGTCCATCCTCCACACAGCAACCCCACGTTGTCTGCTGAGTGCCCGGTCAGGAACACTTGGCTGTTTGCATCTAGAGGAAGAATGTCGTCCTCGTTTTTGAGAAGAATGATTGACTCACGTGCAAGGTCCAGTGCTGCCTGCCGACTCTCGTTTTGGCCAACAAGAGCGATGTCGTCTTCAGTACCTGGAAGAGCGTTTTCAAACAAACCAAGTTTGACTTTGGTTGTTAGAATTCTGCGGACCGAATCCTTCACTCGACTCAGCAGCTCAGGGTTCTCTTGAACACTCAAGCGAGCCATGTCGATGAAAGAAGTGTTGAGCGGCACCATGCTCATGTCTAGCGGAGCGTTCGTCAGTGCCATTCGAACTGCATCTTGATCTGTCTTGGCAACTCGGTGCCACGCGTGAAGATTGTGGATCTCAGCGTAATCCGTGACGATGAGACCTTGAAAGTCCATGTCATGGCGTACTAAATCTCTCAAGATTTTAGTGCTGGCAACGACGGGGACCCCGTTGATGGAAATGTAGCTTTCCATGGCGGTCATAGCACCTGCTTTGATGGCAGCTATGAACGAAGGAGCGAAGCGGTTGAGTAGATCAAAATCGGAAATCGTGACACCTGCACGATCGTGACCGGTGGGTGTCTTTGAGTACGCAATGATATGCTTCATGCATGAAGCAATAGTGCCATTGCTTTGGATACCACGAATGATCGCGTCAGCCATGACAGAGACCAGATGGGGATCTTCTCCAAAAGTCTCAAACGTTCGTGCCCAAAGTGGATTTTGCGAGATCTCAAGGATCGGAGCAAATACCCACGGGATTCCAGCTGCACCAGTGTCTCGAGCCGTGATTCGGCCCATTTCGTATACCAATTTGGGGTTAAACGTAGCAGCAGCATTGAGCTGTTGGCCAAACAGTACAGCTCCACGAACGTAGTTGGCCCCATGTACCGAATCGATTCCATAGATGATTGGGTGACTGCCATGACTAGCGTAAATGGCTTGGATTTCCGTGATTAACTCTCGCCATTCTCTGGGAGAAAAGTTATGGGTGGAGTTTACGTTCGAGTCATTCAACTCAGCACCAGGCGTATTCAAGTACGAGCCGACATTGAGTTTTGCATGTTCGTGTACAATAGCTTGGTTCAATGTCCGGTTCGGATGCAGAATCGTGCTTACATCTAGCTGCGTCATTTGTCCAAGCATGGCGTTCAAGTCCTGGAAAGAAAAAAGCAGGAGAAATTGTCAGTGAAATGGAATTTTTTCAAATTGAGTCAAAGAGGGAGCAAGATTTGGTCGATGACTTCATTTACCATGGACGACAGGAGCTTGTCTACTTGATTCTGGATATTTGGACCCAAAGACTCTTCCATGGCAACAACTTGTCCCATGAAAAAGACAAAACTTGTGCAAATCAAGCATTTCAACCGTGTCATGATCTTTTTTTTCCGTGAAAAAGTCTTGGAAAGTGCAACCACTTGTTTGGAAACTTTCCTTGAGGTGACGAAGGAGATTAAAAAAGTGAGTCTGGATGAAAAAGTCGTTAAAGTCGCAAGCTCATGAGGTCGATTTCTCTTGGAATCAGCCATTTTTTCGTTCGTTTCAAGAATTTCGAATCAGATTTTTATTGAAATGGTCACGTGTTGATCTCAATTATCACCGAAATGGTCAAAACCTTTCTCGTTGAGTGAACTTTTCGTTGCTACGTCGGACAATCTCGTTTGCATGGTGTCCTTCAAGCAAGATCTGATAATTTTCATACATGATTATTATTTCGTTTACGAATCAGATTTTGTTCAGGCGATCTGAGATTCATCATATGAATATATATATATTGAGAGGATAGAGTACTGATTTTAGAGAGCTTCGTGTAGGTTGAATGAATGGAGTTGCTCGACAATTCATATTTGTAATGTTTGTATGAAACAGCATGTTTTTTATCCGATATCGACTGAAGAAGTATCTTCAAGTTGCAGTTCCTCTCAATGTGCAACTATTTAGAAACCTGTTTAATCTGATCTGACTCGTCGAGGCAAAACCTGATAATTTCGACGTTCGATATGTGTAATCGGTACAGATACCGGTATACCAGTACATGCTCGCTAACTTTGTATCATCAATTGGTTATACGAAATAAATAAAGTATTTTGTCATACGCGGCTTAAGTCAAATACTTTTTACCGTTAAGAGACCAATCTATATGTATATATATATACATCTTCCTTCAGCTGGTGTCACCCTAGCAAACTGTATGTGCTTAAATTGTGACCGAGAAATCTTCGACCTTTATGAAGCTTAAAAATGATTGATCTCGAAAAACGAGAATGTAAAAATTTCTTTGTGAATGAAGCGAACAACGCATTCAACACTTGTTAAAAAAAGTATTTCCACGAGAGATTCAAGAAAGAGAAAAGTAGGTAGATATTTAAACTCTAGTGAAAATGAACAAGAGTAAAATTCAACAATCTTCTAGTACAGTCAAAGTCAATGAAATCACTGCTTTTTTATCCATATTGAACAATACCTTTGAAAGTCTCGAGTAGTTCCTTGAAATCGTGGAATTTTTTTATTCAAAGGTCGGGTGCATTTGATGATTCTCTTCTTAGTCAGTCTAACATGCACGCGAGAGAAAACATCGAGACGCCACATTGATAGCAGGTACTTCACCTTTAAACCTTGATGCGTGAATATCTTCCTCCTCCCCCCACTGGACGCGATCCCTGAAATACAGTCACTGTTTTTTTGCTAAAATTCCGCCTCCACTATGGACCGCGTGTCAACAGGTGTGGGGATCACAGCAGATTGAGCCTGGCTTGCGGCCAAGTGGTCCCGCGAGTTCATGCCATGGCTAGCAGCATTATTTGCTCCAGAGAATACGTGAGAGTCGGCGTTGGGGCTAGCAGAAGATAAGCCGCGAGAGTGTTGGCTTGATTGAGTCGAGTGAGCTGGTGCAATGCCTGTGGTATCCATCGAGTTCGACGGTCCGTGCGAGATCACCAGCTTTTCCACGTGAACGTGATCGTGCTCCACTTCCTCGCTACTTGAATGCGAACTTGATCGTTTTATTGGCGGCCGCCCACGGGAGATCGTTACCTCCACACGCTCAAATTGTTCGGTCATGGATGCCTCCAACTTCTTCAAGTCTTCGTGGAATTGGTTCGGTGAAATTGGCATCGGGTTTAATTGTCCATTCTCAACAAATGATGATAGCGGCGTGCCCCCACACTCAGAAATAATAGAGCGATCCTGGCCCTCTAATCGATCACACTCGTCCGAGTCCTCTTCGTGAACAAGAAGACACGGGGGCGGCGGGGGCGGCCGCAATTCAGACACCAGGTTTGTGACCTCCACGAGAGCATCCGGGTCTTCGCAAAAGTAGGTAAAGTCCTTAAACGTGGGATCCTGAACCGGAGGAGCTACCTTTTCACGATTGCTGCGGCTCGACACGAGCGACAAGAAACCCTTCGACTTGGCTGCCGTCTTATCTGTCGGTGAAGTGACTTCGTTGTGCACATTCAAATCTGTAAACTCCGCATCGACGTATTCCACGTCGAGAAGTGACGTAAGCTTGGGTTTCCACGGAGGGGTGATTTGCTTCTTCAGCAGCAAATCCCAATCGATACCGCGAAAGTACGGATGCTCTAAAATGTCGCTGATTTTAGTTCCAAGACGCTTCGTAGGGTCCTTCTGGAGGAAGCTTCGAAGAATCGACTTGAGCTCATCCGTAAGCATTGGTTTGGAAGGGAAGACCAAAGGGTCATTCTGAATTTTGTGGTACATCTTTTCAATGTTGTTGTCGTAGAATGGAGATTTCCCCACGCTCATCTCGTAAAGCAAGATACCAAGGCTCCACCAATCTGCTGCTTTACCGTACGATCGCTTTGCCTTGGGCAGGAGCAACTCCGGCGCTGTGTACTGAGGTGATCCAGCCATAGTCTTTGCACCCTTGTACTCCGACACATGCAGTTTGGCAAGGCCAAAGTCTACAAGTGCAACGTGACCGTCCGCATCAATCATCACGTTTTCAGGCTTAATGTCACGGTACAGAATGTCGTGTTTGTGCAGGTGGTGAATACCAAGCACCAATTCAGCCGTGTAAAAATGCGCACGGTCTGATGATATCCGGCAAGTCGGGCCCTTGCTCATGTGATGGAAAAGATCACCGCCACCATAGTAGTTCATGCCAAGAAACAGCTTCGTTCGACTCTGAAATGCGATGCGCAGACCAGCAATAAACGGGTGGTGAATATTTTGGGCTACTCGCATTTCCGTAAACGAGCTCTCCACATCGTACTTGGTCATCTTTTCCTTCTCTAAAATCTTTAGTGCGTAAATCTGTCCGTCACTTTTCTTCACTGCGTTCACGACCGTACCAAAACCACCTTTACCAATTACATTGTACACTGTAAAGTCCTTCATAGATATACTCAATGATCTGTTGGATCGGATCGACGCATCGGACATTTCTGAGTACGGGTTCTTGACCCCAAACGACTTCCAGTTCCCTGTCACGCTCTTTAAATCCACATCAACTCGGAAACGCAAAATGCGTCCGTTCGGTCCAAAGCGCACACGGTGCGACCACGACTGTGTGATGCTTGCTCCTGAGTGTTTGCTCTTGAGTGTCTCGGTGCCTCTCACCGTCAAGCTCTTTCCATTCGCATTTAATTCACAGTCGTTTACTGCAATCTCAACGAGATCCACATTGCTCTGAAATGCCCCAAAAAAGTGCAGGAGCCCTTCACGGCCAAAATAATCACCACTGAAGGGCGTGTTCGTTGGATACGACGACGAAAAGACAAGGTCCTTGTTAAAGTAAGCCAATAGCTCCGTCACTACGGCTGCATCACCACCGAGCATTCGTCGATAAGCTTCATAGCCCTTGTCCGTCCGCATATCCGGCAACGCACCATGCCGGTACGTATTGTACACCCGTTTGTTATTCTGTCTCATGCTCACCGTATCCACTCCAGCTTCTAGGAAATAAACCCAAGCTAACTGATCAAAGTGAGTAGGTACACTACAATGAAAAACTTTTCCTTCAATTGTCTCAAAGGAAAAATCAAACCCATGCCCATTCTTGGCCACTTTATCCATCTTAACAGATGCCACATTCACACGACCTTTAAGATGACTCCGATTACGAGCATCCACTTTATTCTCATAGTCTGTAGCAGTAGCAATAGCAACAACACACAAATATCATTAGTCCTGTAAGTAATTATCTTTCTCCTCCTCTTCCTCTATCATAACCTCAAATTGTCCATCTTTTCTTGTCTACTTACAGGAAACCAAATTGCCTTCAAGTGTAAAGAAACGCATTTTCCAATTGCGTACCAAGTGTCCTCTTTTCGTCACATATCCTTCCCATTCAACCATTGGCAAGTCGAGACTTTCAACAGCTTGATCACCCAAACTACTAGATGGTGGTGTGTGACTTTTACTGTCATTTCTAGATCGTCTCATGCTTGAAAAGAGACCACTTTCAAGTAATTTCGACTTGGCATTAGCACTACTGCTACGACTGGTTTGAGTGCATGGATTTGTCTTTGCCATCGAAGATAATGATGTCGTACTAGCTGACATGGCAAAGGAATTCGGTGGTTGACAATTTGTATCCAAAGAGCTGCCACTGCCCACACGTCGACGAGCTGCGTCTTCTTTAAGGTTTGTAATATCGGAACCAGCGGGACGACTGAGTTCAGCGCCCATTGGAAGTATTGAGATAAATGGACGTAGTTCTCTCTCTCTTTACGTTACTTGGTTGTTGTTTTTAATGGAATAAAGACGATCGTGTGGTTGTAAACACGCAGGACGATCGACAGGTAGAAGGGAAAAAAAAGCTGCTGCTGTTGCTGCTGCTGCACCCGATTCGAGTCTTTATGAAAATGGAAAACACCGAATGGATGATCCAAATTGAATCAGGCGAGTACAGGAGTAGATGGATAGTTAAACACTTTCGAAATGAATACATTGATGAAATGGATAAAGCTGATTTTGTTTATTTGGTAGATAAGTACAGTGTATGGATGAGATAGAATTAATGTATTGTGAGAATTTGTCAAAATAAAATGAAGTAGTATAAAGTTGATACGGTACATGCAAACAGCGGGATTTGCGGGTTTTAGGTCGGTCCATAGTTTAGTTAAGAGTAAGTTGCAACTGGGCTACGACAGCCGCGACGATTATACCATTCAATTGACAGACAGACAGTCTGAGGTCGCTCATACTATAGACCTAATACCATAAGAGACAATGTCTCTCTAGTATATATACTAAAGTACTATAGTTCTACTATGACCACGATGCATTCCGATATGATGATTCTCTATGTAGTGAGATTAATCCAAGAAGATCATTTTAGTGATTCTCTAGCACGATAAAAAAGTGCTTGAAGCCACTCAAAACGTTTCTATAGAGAGGTTGATACGTCCATCATTTGTCGCTTTTCATCTTGTCACAACCCAAAAAAACTACGGCATTCTATGCGTGTCTGATTTGCTTACGTCATGTTGATGGCAGAAACAAAAGACTAGAATGTTTTCAAGCTTACGTACTATAGGGACTGCATAATGTCTTGGTCCTTAGTCACTGCCAATGTAAAGCAAGTGATCCATTAAGTCGCACCAAGCAAAAACTCTGCAAGCATGTTATAAACGCCAATGATTCTTCGTATATCTGCATTCAGGTTACACTTCTATTAGCTGCACAATTCACACGCCGTCTTTGTAATGAACCGCACACAGAGGTGCAATTTCTGAGCTTCACGACGAGATCGTCCGTCTCGTCTTCTGCGCCACACGATGTCACACGTGTGGTCAAGTTGTTGAGGATCGATACGAGGTGAGACGGGTACCTGCGATGTTCTTTTTCTTGCGATGATGATGATTATGTCGTTGTATCGATATCGTGAGGTCACTGATGCTCTCTGGCAGTGTTTAGAAGGATGTCGATGCGTCGGTTGTCAAGCACCTCAAGTCATGTATGTTTACTTTTCTTCTTCTTTGCCAGCAGGTTTGATAAGCTCAAGTGGCTTGCTGTAACAGTTGCCATGAGCAAGTCTCTTCACAGACCGCAAGTTTTCATATATACGATCGCAACAATGCTTGATCAACTGCAGAAACGTTTTTGTCGACTTGAAATGGGACCTTCACCACCTCTGTAAACCCCTCTTTGACCTAACAGATACACAATAGGCGTCGTCAGTATCACATTCGCATTACTTGCACCCATTAGACAACGAACCGTTGGTGGCACAAAGTTCTTGTAAAATCCGTGAATGGCAACGTCCGGGATTCGTTTCTGCTGGGTCAGCGACCTGAACGTATTTAGATGCATCGACAACGGTTTGTCGACGTCCATTTCAAAGCAACGAATCGGTAGGTTCTAACATTGCAGCACAGCAAATCAACACAATCGTTAGTAAGCATGTCGTAGATGCTGATACAACGGCATCGTAACTTATCCACTACTGTACAAACCTTTTCCTTTGCAAGTGCAACCCACTCCTTTCTTGCGCGGGGATCACGATTAGTGTTGTCAACAACTACACTTTTCTTCTGCGCAATCGCTTCTAAGAACTTCTTCTTGCAAGTAGCAGCTGTTCGCAGCTCATCTTGACTCACAAGGACGTAGGAGCTCAGATACGTGTTTGCAAAGAACGATTTGCCCGAAGCTGGTGGACCAACGAGAACAATCACTTCCTGTTCTTCCTTCACAACTTGTGCAGACGCGGGCTTTAGCAAAGGTTCTACAACAAAAATCCAAGTACGCCAGTCCGGTAGTTAGGTACATCAATTGCTAAGCAATTACGTCAAATGCACACATTACCAGCAGACTCATTAAGAGCGATGGACTTGGGGTCAAAGCCAAGCTCCCACGAGTCAGGACGCGTATGAATTCGCTGTTTCGTGTTCAAGAATAAGGCTTCAGGTGTGAAAAAGCGGATCCCTGCATTGAGCGCAAACTTGTAATCCGACGCAGCAAAATCTTTCGAGCGCCCTGCAATTTTCGGTCGTCCTGCAGCATCTCCACAATAGAAGCTGGCCTCCTTATCAATAGCTTCTTCACCCTTTGTACTCAGTACATTCGCCAGCTCCTTCCAAGCACCGAGACGAGGTTTGCGCATAACATCGTTCTCTGTAGCCAAAAAGACCAGCATAGGAAGGCTCAGCTGCTTTACAATAGTCTCGAGCTTGTTCTACGCAGCAGACACGGGAAGAGCAGCAGTCAAATGTTAGCCAACAGTAGCAGCCACATAGCAATATTGTACTCGACACCTGCACTTGCGCCGTCGTGATGTGTCCTTTGGCAACTCCGTTCTGGTTCGAGAAGATGGTCAGCGTGTAGCCATCACGAACCAATTCTTCCAGTTTGTCCTTAACAAGTGTCGGATGAAACCACTTCCAGTCGTTTTGATCCTTTGCAAACTTTTTTCCGCTCTTGGTAACAATCAGCGTCCCATCCAGGTCAAAACCTGCAATCTTATAGCGTTGATCTCTCTCTTGTTGTCCATCCTGCTTTCGAGCCCGAGCATCCAAGACATAGAGCGATCCTAAGATCGTCGTAAAGTGTGGCTTCGCTTCCAAGTCTCCCAGCAACTCGTTTTGAGCACCACAAAGTGCCGTGGATCCTGCAATTGCAACCTTCTGCTTCTTTTTAGCTGGCCTGTCTTGCAGTCCCAGGACACGGTAGGACGTCATCTCCAGTCGTTGATTCTTTTCAATACTGTCCTTTACCCATTGTGCACGAAGAATTGCGGCCGAAGCAAAACGATTCATAATCATTATGTCGTGATCTGGTTGGTGTCCTATTAGCAGTACTATATTCACTCGAGCCTCGTCACAATTCTGTTGATCAACTACAATACCTCCATGTGCCGTAACTAACATCTGCAATTCCTTATGGGTGAACCCATCATTCATTTGCGCCTTCGACTGGCCTAGAAGAACCATCACGTCCTGCGTGAACAGCTGACGCTTCAAGAACGCGTCCATATATACCGATGACTATTTAACCCCGAATTGCGACCACTTTACGGACTAAAAAAGAGGAGACGAGACGCACGGAATTACTGGACAAGAACATACAGTATGTTTTCTGCATGGGCGGAAGATGCTAAAAAACGGTCGTACGTGCCCTGTCTCTTGTCTTCGATAGCTACTGACCGTTTTCTGTTGCATGCCCATCTTCGCAGAGCTCTTTAGATGTCTTTTTTATACGCCTTTGTCATCCGGCGCTTGTTCACACGTTTCTAGTCCATCGAGGGGGCCAAGAAGCGACGACAATTTGTCGGCAGGTGGCAACGAATTGACTGACTAGAGCGTCAAATTGAGCGAGAGAAAAGAGGAGACTATCAAACGAGCAACGAGTCGATTGTTTGTACTGGACGTTGGTTGTCATCGTGAAAGGCAGGACTTATCCACACACTGACAACGGACGGACGGAGGGAGAGACGGACGGACATTTTGAAGACTCATACATGCCACAACCGCAGACACTGCCGTCGCGAGTCTCTGGTAATAGTCCCATGGATGAGTTCAAGCCCAAGCCGTGGCAGGTCCAGGACCGCTGCGGTATATGCAGCATTGAGTTTTCACTCTTGACCAAACGACACCATTGTCGGTCCTGTGGACTCTCAGTATGCGGTAGACACTCGAAGAATCGGGTGATTGTACCCACGTCACTGTCTAAAGCACAGCAACGAGTGTGTGATAGTTGCTACCCGAAATGCCGGAGCGGAATGGCAATGGAACTTGCGTCTCCTGCTCCTCCTGTACGTCAAGACTTGCCGGCCGACGATGTACGACGACATACGTTGGTGTTGCGAGATGGACGTGACGATGGCCGTCGTATTCGTAGCCCTCCTGATGAAGTGAGAAGAGCTGCGCAAGAGGCACGACGAGATAGGAACGATGGTAGTAACAGGACGTGGAAGAGCGATGAAGAATCACGTGATATGCAATCAGCACGAGTTCGTCGTCTACGACCTCCTGGTATACAATCTCCACGCGGCAGAGATTCTCGTGAGGTTGTTTCTTTGCGTGGGCGACATGCACGTGACGGAAATTTGGATTTTAGAGACCTCTCGAATGATAGGGCGGATCCACGCAGAAAGAGGGATCCACGAGACAAAGAGCGACGGAACAGGGACCCACGAGAAAGAGATTTACGTGCAAGAGATCCACGAGCAAGAGATCCACGTGAGAGAGATTTACGTGAGAGAGATTTACGAGCAAGAGATCCACGTGAGAGAGATTTACGAGCAAGAGATCCACGTGAGAGAGATTTACGAGTAAGAGATCCACGCGAGAGAGATTTACGAGCAAGAGATCCACGCGATAGAGATATACGAGTAAGAGATCCACGTGAGAGAGATTCGTGCGAGAGAGATCCACGAGAAAGAGATTTACGAGCAAGAGATCCACGCGATAGAGATATACGAGTAAGAGATCCACGTGAGAGAGATTCGTGCGAGAGAGATCTACGAGAAAGAGATTTACGAGCAAGAGATCCACGCGAGAGAGGTCTACGAGAAAGAGATTTACGAGCAAGAGATCCACGCGAGAGACGTCCGCGAGAAAGAGATTTACAAGCAAGATATTCAGGAGAGAGTGAATCACGAGAAAGAGGTTTACTAGCGAAAGATTCACGCGAGAGAGATCGGCGTATCAGGGATCCTCGAGAGCGTGGCCCACGCGAAGAGGACCCACGCGAACGAGAGCGACGTAAGAGGGACCTACGAGAACGAGGCTCGCTTGAGAACGATCGACGTGACAGAAACCATCGATCAAAAGACCCGCGTGAAAGAGAGCGCCCTCGTGATAGGGCTCTGCATGAGCGAGACCTATTCGATGCCGCTCCACGCGAGAAATCTTCGCGCAATTCTTGGGGACAGAAAGAACGCCGCCGCCCCTCATTGAATACGGAACCGATCAGGAGGCAATCTAGTATGAAGCTGCTTGGTCCAGTTTCAGGCTCAGAAAGTGGCAACCAGCGTTCAGAGACATCGTCGACGTGCCGCACCGCATCCTCGACACTGAGCAGTTTCTATGCTGCAGTAAATGCGACTGAAGATTATAAAGCAAAAGCTTCGTCGCCGAAGTCAAAGTCGAAGCGCTTGTCATCTCGAAAGGAGAAGGAAATTCAAAGTGCGTTTGCAGATTCGACTTTTTCCATCTTCAGTCTGGCCGAGTCCGATCACTCAGACTCAGAATCTAAGCCAGAGAAGAATGCAGTGCAGAAAATCCCAGCGCATAGGCTGGGAAAGAGTCGAAGCCATAGTGTGAACCGGGAACCGATGGAGAAGAAGGAGCATTTGGATTTTAGCGCCTCTTCCAGCAGTGTCAAATACTTTGAGGTGTCGGCAATCACACAGAAGTATCTAAACCCAAAGCCGGCAAAAGCAGCGATGGAGAAGGCAAGTTTAAAGCCGATGACAGAGGAGGAAAACGAAAGCGACGACTCGAACGCAGAGCCGAGCAGACGTTATGCAGACATAAGAGGTCACACAAGCGAGAGAAGACGTAATGTGAGACCACCAAGTCAGGGCAAGCACCATCATCACAAGTCCCGTGGTAAAGAACAAAGCAAAGACCACATGCTCCCACCGTTTCAACGCGGCAAGCCTGTCGATGAGAGCTTCCGAGACAGTGGTGAGTTGCTCCAGGAGCAAGAAAAGCTATCGGATCAAAATACAGATTCCAAGCCAAAGCACATTTCGGAAGACAATGGGTTCCAGATGACGCAATTATCTTTGAGCAACGACAAGTGCTATAGCGATGACGACGAAAAGGAAGATGACACGTTTGTGGCAAACCGAGGCAAGCAGGACTTGGCCGCCAAGCTTCGGGCTAAGAAGGCTGCTATTGCTGGTATTGACCCTGCCAGTCTCGACGCAAAGGAAAAGGCCCCAACGACTGCTAATTACAAGCTGAGTAGAAGGGACCAAGAGATTATGCAGCAGATATCGGAGCTGGAAGCAGTGGTACTTCAGCACAATAACGATCTGCTGGACTTGCTGGATATGTACAGCGAAGCCACCAAGCGAGCGCAAAATGCGCAGAAGGGATTAAAGAAGGCAAAGGTGCGCGTGGCTCGATACGAAAAAGCACATGCTGCCGTCTCGCGAGCGATTCGCTCTGGAAAATTGTACATGAAGCAAAAGGAGTATATGGCTGCTATCCTCGAGATCTCGCGCGCCACTGGCATTGAGCGCTCGAACGCAACACTGTGGTACATGCTTGCAGAGTGTCGATTGATGGTCAGCCAGCCTGCGGCCGCAGAAGATGCGTGCATGACGTGTTTAAAGTTACATCCTACGGCTGCAGCTGTGGCCTTGCTAGGACGTATTATGCACGAACGAGGACGAAAGGACGAGGCGATTGAGTGTTATTTAGAGGCTTTGGGACGAAACGATGACAGCGAGAGCGAAGACGATAGTGCGTACATGTAAAAGTCACTCTGTGCGTACATGTACAGAGGGTAATCGAACAGACAGAGCTGTAAAGTGTCGTTCTACTTGACGTAAGTTACTGTAAAATGTCGCCGTTTCATAATTTTTTTTCGTACTGTATCGACAAAACTAAAGCCCACCGTATCCGTTTAACAAAATCACATTTTTTGTCATTCCATTATAAACACCCCTAAAAATGTGATTTGGTCTTTATTGAGTAAAAAAATTAACACCATCCAGCACCCACCCAGTCATGGCGCGTCATACGTCTGTCTCGGACGCTAAGGAGAAGAAGAAACGAGTATGTCAATTACTCAAAGTAAATGGATCTGTAGGCTCCAAGAAGAAACGTCGACGTGAGAATTCATGGGACTATGAAGATGACGACAAGGACGTGGAATTTGAAGCTCAAGATTCGGAGAGTGAAGTCGAAGAAAAACACAAGAAAAAACGCGGTCGACCACGTAAAAATCAAGTTGAAACGACACAAGAAAATGAACTTTTACGTACAAAGAAAAAAGGGAGAAAAGAAGTGACGAAAGAGGAAGGACTGAAAGAAGAAGAAGAAGATCGTGTTTTATTGGAGAAACACCGGAACCGGGTCCAGCATATGGAACAAGATAGTGGACAAGTGCTAGAGGAAGTACGTGATTTAGCCATGGAGGAGAAAAAAATGCAGGAGAAGCTTATTGAAAAGCTTAAAAGAGATATTACAACACTGTCGAAACAAACAGAGGAAGCACGAAAGAAGAACAGAAAGGAAATGGATCGACTCGTGGCTGAAAAGATGCGCGAGTATGAAGCTCAAGAGAAGCGTAAAAGTGAGAAAGATGTGGAGAAAATAGCGCTGCGTGAACATATTAAAGAGCTGGAGTCTCAATTTGCATCGTTCAAGAGGAGCACGGGACCCAATGATGTCGTGACTGTGAATCCTGCTGCTGTTTCAGCTGCCTCAGGTACGACTATTGTTTGAGTTTTGCAGAGATGGAAATTGTGAGTGCAAGGCTTGAATGTGTACTTTTCGTCCATCAGCCATGCAGAACAGTGAAGCTATTATCCAACTCGACCAGGCAAACAAGGTAAGACACATGCTGCTGTGTTTTTTTTCTTGCGTAATGTGACAATTCTTTGTGGATGGATCTGTTTCTGGTAGCTCTTGGAAGTGTACCGCTTAGTGACCAGCACGGACATTCGCCTCATTCAAGCGATAGACGATGATGATCAGGACAGTGACGATTGCACTGAAATTGTGTGCACAACTACCGATTCAGCCACTGGCAACCAGTTCGAATTCGAGCTGGCCGTCCCTGCCGTCGTCTCGAGTGAAATTGAGTATCTTCCTAGCGAGAAACCACCGACTGGCGTTCAAGTACCTTCATATCTACGAGTACGTCATTAGTGATCTACTGAAACGATCGAGATGAGTTATTTAATGTTTGGCGTTCGTGTTTACAGGAGGAGCTGAGTTTCAGCAGGTCCGAGGTGACCAAATTCTTTCGATCAGTTCTCGACGTCATCATTAGAAAGAAGAAACTATAGGTGCTGACATTCAGAGCAAGCTTCATGGCTTATGATTGGAGGCAAGAAACGTGTCTGGTTCGCCAGCTCCAAACGTGGGTTTTCTTTTGTTTTTTGCTTCCTTTTGCTTAGGTAACGCATCAATTAGTATGTGCTGTCCGCTTCTACTTTTCCATTAGTACAACCTCGGAATTTTGTTCTTCCTTTTCAAGCGGCACAGCTTCCGTGGAGACTATTTCCGCACCTTTCTCAATGACTTCCGTATTTGCCTTTGAGATGGCGCGGAACTGCTTGTATTCGTGTTTCGAAAGCAGTGACTCTTGAATTTCTGCGACTTCCACTTTCTTGGGTTGAATGATGATGAGGTATCCGTCCGATTGATGCTGCAGCACACATTCAAGTAAGAAAGAGTAACAGCGCAATCCTATCAGGTTTTCCCACTATACCCGAGCATCTAGCACACCTTTTGCTTGAGCAATTCTGGCTCCTTTTGCAGACGTTCATTAACTTCGATCAACGAGCCTCGAATGCAGCTATAGAGCTTGAACTCACGGCCACTTTTGCACTTGAGGACGCCAATCACCGTGTTTGGCAACATAAAGCAGCCACCTTTCTTCTTCTTGCCCGTCACTCGGTTGTCCAATACATTCCGTGAAAACTCAATACTCACCACCTCTTCCTGCATGACTGGATGGGATTCAGCCACACCAACTACACATAGACGGTTTGAATGCATGTGCACGTACTGATCCTCCATTGGTTTGCCCATCGTGTCACACGAAAACATCTCAGTATAGTAGCGCTCAATCTACCAGCATTTATACAGCAACACTCAGTCTTTTTTCAGTCTTTCATTACATTTTTTAGCCTCACCATTGTGCCTCGACGTTTCGAAGTGACGGCTCCTTCATCTCTCGTTTGGAATTGCTCTTCTGCACGATAAATTGCTTGTTCCCGAATAAGTTTTCGTTGAGCTGCCACTGAATGTGGATCCTTGTCATTTACTTCAATTCTATCGATACAAAACAACAAATGATTAAGAAAAGCGTTTTTTTGATTCCTTCGGAGCAAAAAATACTGTAGACGAACCGTCCATGGGCAAATTTGCAATTGGGGAACGGACAACCGCCAGGTTTGTCAAAGTGTTTGCATAGAGCACTTTTACGTAATCGTTCACGTCTTTCTACACGTCGTTTTTTAGTTCCATGACCTGGAGACGAAGCGGAAGACGTCATTCCGGTCGGGGTGGTGATGCTTATTGCCTGAAGCGTCATGGGTTTGATTGCGTTTTATTGACGTTTAATTAAATTCGTTTTGTTTGGTCTCTTTTGACGACCAATCATTGACCAGAAAAATAATTTTGTGTGGTAGTACCCTAAAATGGGAGGCGTCCCAATTGGAACATCTCACTAAAATTACGAAAACAAATCTTAAAACGTCGCGGTTTGTATGAATTTTCGACTTTCTAATCTTAATCTACAGGTGCTGGTGCTGCTTCTGCTGGTGCTGGTGCTGCTTGGTGCTGGTGCTGGTGCTGCTGGTGCTGGTGCTGGTGCTGGTGCTGGTGCTGGTACTGGTGCTGGTGCTAAAGCTGCTTGACGACGACAGGTTTGGGCATTGTGGCCTGTCTGCTGGCAAATCCGACATTGCCGGCGTCGTACAGGAGCTTTTGAAACAGCGGCAACATGCTCAAACTGTGATAAAAGTCGCTGTGTTGGATTCGTTGGCTGGTCACGTGTCTGAACTTGCACAGGATTGCAAACACTGGCCTCTGGGACAGCCAAAACATGGTCAAGCAGCACACGCTTGCGATCATCTGATGCGTTGTTGTATTCGTCTGCGATCCTCTTCAATGCCATCTCAATTCCAATTGGTGCAGATTGGTGGGCCAAGGGCTCGTGGTTGTGTTCTCCATTGGCAACTTGTACCTGCCAATCTCCAGCTTCTAGTCGCCGTATACTTATCTTAAACATGCATCCAGTGCTACGACTGAACCGAATACGTTGACGAGGTCCTGCATCTGTACGTATAACTGGGGGGTTGGATCGGGAGCAGACAAGAATTAAAGCTTTGACATCACCGTCTTTCTTATTGCCAATCCTTTTTGTGTGTTTAATTACAACAGCATAACCTTCCAGCTGTGCATGAGCATTAACTGCGGCTCTTGCTTGTTCTAAAGAAGCATAAGCAAGTGGCGGAGGTGGTGCAAGGCTGTTCATTGATTATTGTGATCGACGACTTTCGCGAGACATTTTGACCAATCAGATCTTGATAAAAGTTCGGGGGAGGCTGGTTAGCAAAAATGTGAGGGATGATTAGCTTTTATATGATAATCAGAATAGTCGTTATAATCGACTCTATTTCTTGCTGTTTCTCTATTAGTCGACTCTATTTGCTAAATGCGACCAGCTGTAACATCGGTAAACACAGCGTGGATGTGATGGCTTCAACAATTTGTGGCTCTTTGATTCAACTAGGGGATCTCACGGAATGGAGACCAATCACGGTAGCAAGAGTCAAACACTTTGTCGATGCATTCGTCCGCCTGTGTAGCAAAAAAGCACGATCAGTGAGAATCTGTGTCAATTTATAGAGCAGGAGTGATAGCAATTATCAATTAGTGATACAGTACATGCCTTGCCGTTGCACGCTTCGTTCTGCTCAATGGACAATTTTGCTCGTCTCCGCGTGCAAAGCTGTAGTCAAACACAATGTCAGAACCAATAATGTTGCTGTTGTCCTTACTACAAGACATTAAAAAATGTACCTGATGCTGCTTGTTGATGTTGTAATTCTTGCGAAAGAGCTCGTACTTCCAATTGCAATCACCACTTAACGCTGCTGCTCGGACCTTTACTCGATCGTTCATCCCCAACATGCACAACAAGTGTTTACTTCTCTCCACAAACAATCAGTTCGTGTCTCTGCTGCCAGCACGTACCTCACTACAAGCGTGGTGCTCACACTTGTTCCAGTCGATCTTGTTGCGACAATGATCGAATGCGTGGATCAGCTCGTGTGCCATAGTGCGGTCCATCCATTCCTGGTCCGGGATGTGGTTCTGACACAGCACCACCTACGTCCATCAACCCCATCAGCTTTAATTTGTTTAGCCCATTAGACGGCAAAACCACCCACCCCAGGCTTGCCCTCGTCGTCCAGATGGAACCCTCCATTGATTTTATCCTCACAATCGACACTAGAGAAGAATCCCGTCTCCATTTTGCAGCCCAATTTCTCCATTGCATCAACCAAAAACGTTACGCGCGAGCCTAATACACCTGAGTGTCAAAAACCAGCACAATTGATCGGGAAATGGACTCTATGCTACTCACATTTGCTCAGTGCTTTCTCACGCATGTTCTCACATTTATAATGACGTTCTTCTTCTTCGCTGAGGTTCCTTGTCGTGGTACTGAAGCTTTTCTTGAGCGTCTCCATTGCGTTCTGCTGTCTAGCGAAGACACAGCAGTTCTGTACCACACGTAACTTATATATAATAACCTTGAAGATTTAATAATATCGAAGCGCTACTGCAGTATAAACATCACGTACATTTGACTTCTAATAAAGTGACCTTTGTAAGTGGATTGATGCGTAGACACATTGAGTCTTGAATGTCAAAAAGGGACAAAGCTGCATGAATATGACATTAATCAATGAATCGTTATACATGATAAAGGTCTGTAGTGTGACGACGCAAAGCGACGCCAACACGCTGCTATATGTAGAAGACTTTACAGCAAAAAGAGACGTCTCTGGCCGCACAAGCAAACCCCCCCACTCTATTCCAATTCCACGACCGCGCCTACTGCCTTGAGCTTCTCAATAAGTTCATCAGCTTCCTCCTTCTTTACGTCCTTCTTTAATGTACTAGGGGAGCCTTCCACAAGTTCCTTGGCCTCCTTCAGGCCCAAACCAGTGATGGCTCGTACCTCCTTGATAACCTTAATCTTGCTCTTAGCATCAAAGCTCGCTAGTTTCACGTCAAACGCAGTCTTTTCCTCTTTAGGTTCTTCAGCAGCAGGAGATGCATTACCACCAGCACCGCCGCCCATGCCAACCTGGAAAGCAGACTCAGCAATACCAAACTTGGTCTGTAGTAAATGTATCACAGCGGAAAACTTGACATCAGCATCGCAATATATCAATAATATTGCAATAATAGCATCGTACCTGAATAGCATGTGATAGCTCCGCAATTTCAATCATATTGAGCTCAAGGATCTGGTCCAATACAGTTTGTACTTTGGGCGTAAGTGCCAGCTCTTCCTCAGCACTTGTAGGCACGTTGGGAGTGTCATCGACTGAGAAAAAAGACACTTGACCTAGACGTATGTTGTTTACACACGTACGACGAACAACTGCGCCGCGAAGCGCCACTCGAGACACACGCGAGAGCATTTCTTAGTAAAGAGCTAGAGGTCTATCGAATACTTGAGCGGCTATGAGATGCCGACGCTCAATAGCCACGAACCAAAAGAGTCAATATTTTATCCAATTAGAAAGCTACAAAGATGATAGACTGTCATCTATTGGCTATAATTCATATGAGAGTATTTTAGCCAATGAAGACAAGATGATTCCAATGCTACGTGTCGTCAGTCAGGGGATACCGTAAAGTGCCGAGCTTTGATAACATGACAATGCATCGTCTTCTTCTTCTGCTCGTTATGGCGATGGCAATGGCCTCCGTACAGAGCGAAGTGATCAACCAGTCGGTACGTCGTCGTCTTTTCTCATCTGTCATGAAAATCACACTCTTTAACGTTCCAAATTAACACTAAAAATCATTATTTTCTTCTCTTTAGATCAAGCGAGTGTTCGACTTGACGCAGCACGTTGTCCGGGAAAATACAGAGTTCCGGTTCATGGATACTAATGCACAAATATTGAAGTATACTATCGCTTTTCCTCGTGCATTGGAAATGCATCTGGCCAATATCTCGGCTCGATGTGGCAAGACGCAATGTGAGATTGTGCCGGCGACACAAAAACACGCAGCCAAGACCCCTAAGGACGTGGCACTTTACACGGTGTTACTAAAGAAACCTGTGGCTAAAAAAGAGACGGGAGCTGTTAAAGTGACGGCCTACTTTACTCGCGTCCTGAAGCCTTATCCGGCCGAGATCACGCAGGTGGACGACCAGCTCGTGCTCTTTAATACGAGCCACCTCGTCATTTCTCCCTACTTGACTAAAACGCAGACTACCAAGTTAAAATTGCCGTCTAATTCGGTGGAGCGTGCTCATGGTGTTGAGCCCATGTCCAGAAAGGGATCTGTCTTCATCCTTGGACCGTATCCTGACATCTCTGCATTCGCTGATGGCGTGGAGAATGCGCCTTTGAGTGTGCATTACAAGAACCATGCGCCGTTCATGACCATCACCAAACTCACACGTGAGATTGAAGTGTCTATGTGGGGTCGTGTGTCGTTCGAGGAGGTCTACGATCTGAAACACACTGGTGCCAAGCTCAAGGGCGAATTCTCCCGTCTTGACTACTTGCAGCGCCATCGCAGCGCGTCATTCCACGAAATGCACGCGCATCTGCCGAAGGACTCAGTCAACGTGTACTACCGTGACCAGATTGGCAACGTGTCCACGTCGCACCTGCAACCTGCCGGCCGCAGGGGCTCGTACCAGGACCTCGAGTTTTATCCGCGCTTCCCTCTGTTCGGCGGCTGGAAGACCCAGTGGTACCTTGGCTACTCTGTCTTTACGCACTCGGTGCTGACTCACGTTGGTAACAAGTTCAAGCTGAAGGCTAGCTTCTCTACGCCTGTTCAAGATGCCTCCGTGGATGACCTCACTGTCAAGGTGATTCTTCCTGAAGGTGCTACCAATATACAGGTAAGCGTGCCGTTCAGTGTGGATCGCACAAGCGAGGCCACGCGCCAGACGTACTTGGACACACCTGCGGTTGGTCGACCTGTGGTGATCCTAGACAAGAAGAACGTTGTGGCTGCTCACAATGTGCCCTTCGAAGTGACCTTCGACTTCCCGCAGTACTTCATGCTGCACGAGCCGCTGCTGCTGGTGTCTGCCTTCCTGGCCTTTTTCATCGTTTGCATGTGTCTCTTCCGTCTTGACATTAGCATCGCTAAGAGGCCTGTGCAGAAGAAGAAGTCGGAATAAGTTGCCGTGCTTAAGAATGATACAATCATAAAGCTTATGCGAAAAAAGCGTCGAGTATACGACATGTGTTATTATGCTTACAAGATTTTCTGCTGTGATTTATCATTGCTTTATGGCTAGAAGCTGGTACATGACAACGCGTGTAAAGAAAAAGGAAAGTAATGAGTTTGCAGTAGAGCAGTATCCTCGTTCGATTACGATTTCCATTATAGGTCTCCAAGAAGTAACGCTAACGTTACACAACACGTGCTACAAATAGCACTTACCACCTAGAAAGAGCTGCACAAAAGCCATGGAATAGACTTAAGCACGATTCTGACGAGCCAAAGGACCCAACCATTTGGCCTTCTCTTCCACCGTCTGGAAACGGCCGTGGCCAAACTTGGACGAGGTATCGATAAACTTAAGCTTAATCTCCTCGAGAGCCGAACGCTTGGTGTGCACCAAGAGCGACTTGCGCAGGGTCAAAGCACGCTTTTTCGTGCCGACAATCTGACCCTTAATCATGAGCCAGTCCTCGTTGATCACACCGTAGTGAGGGAAACCACCCAGTGGGGTGATGTCCTTCTCGGTCAGATCTTGCTCAGTCATGCATGACTTCTTGTCGCCGGCAGCACCAATACGGTAGATTTTCTTGTTAATCTCCGTACGGTGGTGGTAACCGTGCTGACCAGCGCGAGGCACCGTGAAGCGAACGCGAGACGGGTGCCAAGCACCAATACAAGCGACCTTACGCAACCCACGGTGCGTCTTACGCGGCAAACGGGTGACACCCCAACGGGTAATGACACCCTCAACACCGTGACCCTTGGTGACACCAATGACGTCAATCATCTCGTCCTTAGAGAACACGGCCGTAACAGGCACCTGCTTCTCAAAGAGAGACTTGGCAAAGTCAACCTTGTCAGCCACCGAGCCACCGTTCACTTGCACTTCAAGAAGATGGGCCTTCTTCTGGCGAAGCTTCACCTTGCGCACTTGCGTATGGGCAAGCACACGCACAACTTGGCAGTACTTCTTGATACGGTTCAGCTCATTCTCAATATCAGCAGGAGCCGTCTGGTACTTCTTTGCATACTTCGTAAAAGCTTTACGCTTCGACTTGTACCAGTTCTTGTAGAAACGACGCTTCACTTCCTCGCTCAGATGCTCAGCAAACACCGTAGTGAGTGTACGCAGACCACGAGGGGTTTCCAAGTATCCAACGACACCAATAACAACCATAGGAGGCGTTTCCACAATTGACACAGGCTCGACAATCTCCTTCTTGTGCACTTTAGAACCAGGACGGTCCACTTCACGCAAAATGTGCGTCATGCCAGCCTTAAATCCCATAAAGGCCGTAAGATGCGGAGCCTTGGACGCATCATCACGGGGGAACTTGCGAACGCGACCACGGTGGTGCTTGGTACGCTTCTTAGGAAGGAACCCCAAATGTCCGTGACGTGGAGCTTCAAATTTACGGTGACCCATATTTGATACGAGAGTAACTGCAAAACTCAAAATGCAGCACCAGCATCCACGTGAATATTGCGACTTAAAGAGCTCTGTCAACCAACCACTAGATCGGAAATAAACGAAACACCTCAGGAATCAGCTATTTTCAAATGACACATTTATATTACAGTTTACTCTTTTCTAAGTTCGCATCGGACGTTAAGTTCGACCATCACTCCTAAAAGTGCAATTTCCCCAAAAGGAAACCAAACAAGCTCGTTTCCCTTGCCTCATTTCCGCACTAGATGCACATTAAACAAGTGATTGTCTGCGGTTTCCGTAGTTACAAAGATCAAGTGGCAGTTGAACCATTTAGTGATCAACATAATGTCGTCATTGGACGTAATGGGACTGGAAAATCAAATTTCTTTGATGCCATTCGCTTTGGTCTATTAACGTCACGTTTTGCAAACTTACGACCAGATGAACGACAAGCTTTATTACATGAAGGATCGGGGAAACACGTCATGTCTGCTTATGTCGAGATTCTTTTTGATAATAAAGACGGTCGTTTACCTGTAGACGATGAAGAAGTGGTTCTAAGACGAACGATTGGAGTAAAAAAGGATGAATTCTTTTTAAATCGAAAACATATTACGAAAAGTGATGTGGTTCACTTACTCGAGAGTGCCGGGTTTTCACGGTCAAATCCTTATTATATTGTCCAACAAGGCAAAGTGAATGCGCTTGCAGTGATGCGGGAACGTGAAAGATTGGAACTATTGAAGGAAGTCGCAGGAACGAAAGTATATGAAGATCAGAGAGTTAAATCATTGAAGATTTTACAGGAAACACAATTACAGAGAGATAAGATCCAAGAGGTTGTGAGGTATATTGAAGAGAGACTGTCGGAACTAGAGGAGGAGAAGGAAGAATTAAAAGAGTATCAGCAACTGGACAGAGAACAACGTGCTTTGGAGTATACGATGCATGAGAAGGAGCTGCAGAATGTACGTGAGGAGATTGAGAACCTTGATAAAGAGAGACAGAGAGAGAGTGCCGTAGCGACGGAACTGCATGAGAAACTTATGCATGTTCGAGCTGAGATCAGTCGGATTGAAAGTGATTCTCGTAGTAAAAAGCAAGATGTGGTGCAATTGATGGAGGAAAAAAAGAGTCGAGAGGAAGAACGAAAAGAACTGATGGAAGCGAGATTCAAATTGGAGATGCAAGTGGACGAGCTCAAAGAACAGATTCATACTGACGGCAAGCAGAGATCTGCTGTGTCGAAGGAAGTGGAAGTCGTGAAACGTGAGATTGAAGCCAAGCAAGCCCAATTGAGTAATGAGATTCTACCTGCACTACAACAGGCAGAGAAAGCACATGACCTGGTCGCACGAAACCTTCAGGAATGCAGAGCACTGTCGGAGCATCTTATTGCCAAGCAGGGTCGAAAAAGTCAGTTTCACACGCAGCAACAGCGTGATGACTATCTTCAGCGTGAGATCAGTGATATTGAGGGATTGGTGCGCAGAAAAGAGTCTGACACAGCATCGATAAAACACTCGATTGAGGGCTTGGCGCAGTCTATTGAGGGATCGGAACGAACGCTACAGCAACAGATTGAAGAGTTACGTGAACATCGTGTCCGAGTGGATGATGTCGGGACAGAAGTGCTCCGTCTGAAAGAGCAACGCAACATCTTGAATGAAGAACGAAAAGCAAAGTGGCGCGAGGATAACCAGATATCGTATAACGAGCGCGAGCTCAAGAAAAAGTTGAGCGATGGAGAAAATGCTTTGCAGAGTACAATGGGGTATGGCGTCCGCCGTGGTCTACAGGCAGTGCGAGAGATGCAAGATCGTATCCGAGGAATCTATGGACCCTTGATCGACCTCGTGAAACCTGTCGACGAGCGTTACTGCATCGCTGCGGATGAGGCCGCTGGTGGTGCTCTATTTCATGTAGTCGTAGATACGGATGACACTGCTGCAAGAATTATGCAAGAATTGGACAAGAAGAATTTGGGTCGACTAACTTTTCTACCTCTCAGTCGCTTGAAGGTGAAGGATCACTTCGACTATCCTCGAAATGATGATGTTGTTGCGTTAATCGAGAAGCTGGAATATCCTGCAGAAGTTCGTAAAGGTGTTATGGCCGCGTTTGGTAAGAAGCTGCTATGCCGAGACTTGGACGCTTGCGGTCGGTATGCAGAGCAGACAAACATGGACTGCTTAACGTTGGACGGTGATATGGTCCATCGGCGTGGTGCTTTAAACGGTGGCTATAAAGATCCACGGCGATCTCGCACGCGAGCGATGATGGAAGTGAAGCAGGCGCAATTGGACCTTGAAAGCGTGATGAAAAAGGCTAGGAGAGTAAAGGCTGAAGCTCAAAAAGCTGATCAGAAAGTTACCGGAGTGATCAGTGAGATACAAAAGCTCGAGGCGGAAAAGCACCGCGCCATTTCCGCCCACGAGCGCCTGTGCAGCGAGATATCGCAACGAAAGAACCACATTGCTACCCAAAAAGAAAATTTGGCGCAGAGAAAACGAAGTTGCGAATTTCAGGAACGAGAAATTAATGATCTGGTCTCAAGGATCGAGTCGCTTCGTTCGGAACTTCTTTCGCCGATGCAAGACACTTTGACAGCTAACGAGCAGAAATTGCTGCACTCGTTGTCAGCCAAGGTCAAGTTACTAGAGGCAGAAGAACAAGACCAAAGACAACGACTGGAAGATATACGTTCCCAAAAGGAAGGCATAAGAACAGTTTTGGATGAAAATTTGATCAGACGTGAAACTGAGCTGGCGAAGCAACTTGGCGAAGGAATTGAAGAGCTGGCAATCAATGAGCGAGAAGAGAATTTGAAGGCCAAGCAGATCGACTTACTTGACGCGTCGCGTTTAGTAGATGATAACACGTTATTGCTGAAGGAACTCGAGCAGAAGATTGAGACGTTGCAGCAGGAAACCACAAATGGAAACAGGCAGTTGGATGCATTGAATGGACAGGATGTCTTATTGAGTGACCAGATCCAGCAGGAAACCCGGCGAACGGAGAAAGTCTTAAATAAGCGCCGCCGACTGCTGAAGAAGCGTGACGACACCACGCGAGATATCCGGGAGCTAGGAACTTTGCCGATTCCCGAGCTCGACAAATTCAAGGTGCTGTCTTACCAGGACGTGATCAAGCAGTTCAAACGTCGAACCGAGAAATTGAAGAAGTACAGCCACGTGAACAAGAAGGCGTTGAATCAATATATGAGTTTTAACGAGCAGCGCGCAACGCTTTTGGAGAGAAAGAAGGAGATTGACGATGCGTACAATTCGATCAAGGACCTGATTGACGTCTTAGACAAGCGAAAAGACGAAGCTATATTCCGCACATTCAAAGGAGTGGCGGGCTTTTTTTCAGAAGTGTTTCGCGAGCTGGTACCAACAGGAGAAGGCAAGATGATTCTTGTTGGCGCGGACACGAATCAGATCAGTAACATAAATGGTGGCGATCCGTCGCAGGAGTCGAACGTCGACACGTACTCTGGTGTGCAGATCAAGGTGAATTTCCGCGGAGAAGGAGACTCCTACTTGATGCAGCAACTCTCTGGTGGCCAAAAGGCGTTGGTGGCCCTCGCCTTCATCTTTGCAATTCAACGGGTCGATCCAGCTCCTTTCTACTTATTTGACGAGATTGACCAGGCATTGGATTCCACTCACCGAGCTGCGGTTGCGGCGTTGATTCATCGACAAGCACACTCGAAGGAGAGCCCGGCTCAGGTGTGCATACTATTTTGGTTATCTTAAAAGCTATATTTGTGCTGATTGTTGTAAATGATGGCATACAGTTCATCACGTCGACCTTTCGCCCTGAGCTGGTGAACATTGCTGACAAACGGTATGGTATTGGCTACCAAAACAAGATCAGCAATGTCTACTCAATGACGAAAGACGAGTCCCTCGACTTTATCTCGAATATCATGGCGGAAGAAGAGGGTGTGGCAGAATCGAAAGTGTAAGGACATATGTGAAAGGACATGTTCCTACACACTAGCCCGTTGATCTATCTTCTTTCTCTGATCAAAGCATCTTTAAGTTTTCAAACAACGAACGAACCTCCACTCAAAGGTAGGGTAACTTTTATTCTATCAAGTCCCTTTTGCTGACCGCACTCGCTTGCCAGACTTTCGGAGACCCAGCGCGTCGCGCTCCTCGACTTGCTTTGACTTGAAGGCATGTTTCAGACTCTCAAGCTTCTTCTCCGTGACGGGCCACTCGTTGCACGCCATAGCGTTTTGCCAGAAGAACACACTCGTGTCGAACGATGCGATGCGCCAACGGGTCTTTCGGATCTGCTGCTTGCCTTCACAGTAGCCGTGCTGCTTTTGTGGGATAAGGAGATGCCTTTGGTTGAAGCGACTAGCGTTTAGTTGTTGCCATCCCTGCTCATCCGAACACTATCAGTAAGTCTGGCATGAACAAGTGACCGATTTGGCAAACCCTACCTCAGTCTTTTGCCATGTCGGGATGATGATGATAAACGCCAAAGGCCCATCGGCAGCAGTGAGTAGCACTGTCATATGATCTACCATGCGTTTAATTACCTTGGGGATAAAGGGCGGATTCGCTTCATAGCATCTGTGCCCGAAAACGACGATAAATCAGCAAAATTTAGCTCTATCTCCGCAAAAGAGGAGACAAAACAAGTTACTACGTACCCAGAGCGAGGCGAAAAGTCAAAGAAGCTACCGACACTTCCAAAGACAAAATCGGTGTCGAGAAAAGCGCTGCAAAAGCGCGAGTAGCGGCAGTTCAACGGTGAAGCAAAACATTCCATGTTGCAGTTGAATTCTTTCAGTAGCACATCAAAGCACTCTTCGTTAAGCGCAGCCTATTCTCAAACAATAACTTGTCAAAACCGTTCACAGCAGCAAATGAGACTTTACAACCAGTCACCTCATACCTGAAAACCTCCTCCACTCAGCGAGTCATAACGCAGCAGCAAGCAAAACAGTGCACTCTCAAATTGACGTTGGTCCTTCGGTGCCATACTCGATCCGTTCCCATCCAATCCCCGCTTCCGAGCATACAACTCGCGCAGCTTGGCAAAGTGCGCCGCGCTGAGCTTCACCATGGATTTCCCGTACGTCAAATGGCGCGTGTCGTCCTCCATCACCGCCACTTGCACCTTCTTCTTGCCAGCTACAAAGTCCTGCTGACCGAATTTGCGCAGCATCCGTTCAGATTCCTTCGTGAGCTCCATGCACTTTTTCGTAACTCCAGACTTGGTGGCTCCAGCTTTGCGCAGCTCTTCAAACAATCCACTGTAGTCGCTCTCGGCGTGAGGAATTAGCGGGTCGTGCTCTTTTACGGTAAGCTGCGACGTGAACTGCCACGTCTCGTAGACCGAGTTCGGCAGCTTTCCGATGCCCAAATCTGCACTGGCGCAATGGATTTTACTGCAAAGAGCGCGAACAATTTGCTGCCGCGCAATCTCCATGGCCGGGTTTACTGTGCATGACTTGGCGGCATCTATCAGTTTATTGAGAGCAGCAGAATCCAGCGACATCTCCTCGTGCGGGTTCCAAATGCTCGATAAAGACGAAGCAGAAGTTCCTCGGTCGCGCTTCTTGCTTACAGGCTTGGAGATTGCAACTGTTTTAGCCACAGGTTCAGTTTTCTTGAGCGGTGATGCATTGCCTGTTGCTGCCGCCATGGACGCCAGGATCGCCTCCATCGGGTTCACTATTGTTTACGCCTGATAACCAACCGCCGTTTACTGACGTGGCACTAAAACAAGACAGATTGTGGTACAATTGTTCGACTCGCAATATCATTCGGTGACATCAGTCTCGGCCTGCGTTGCTATCATCAGTGGCAAGCAGGACAACAGGGTTATTACGAAGAAAACACCTTCTTAGAGCTCACCAGTCTCGCTTCTAGACTTGCCGTCAACACATGAAGCATTTTGTCGTGATGTGATGGGTGAGCTAGCAACCTCAAGGCATCACCGTGTCTACTAGAGTGAGCCCACAGAGAGTGAAGTCGTAGACGAAGCAGTGTCGAACGTTTACACAACTGATGAGACAGACACAAGGAACACGCTTTCTTTACTGCCTCGTGTCTCTCACGCAATAAATTACCAATCACCAGGACGTCTTTGCTAGGAAACAAGACTTTCCCCAATGAAGACACGTAAGTGCTTCACCTTTTCTAGAATGCGGGTCTTTTATCTACTCGTCTCAGCTGTGCATTGCGTCCCGTCCTCGGAATAACCCCGAGCTAGCAGTGCTGACGTACTTGTGAAAGAAATAACGGAGGATAAAAAACGGGCAGTCCCTGGAAACTAGACATTGAACCGGCAGCATTAGCTCCGACAGCCTCTGAATTCTATTTTAGACGAAGTGTTTGACCAATCAGAGGGTGAATAAATTACGACTTCAACCATAAGCCTTGAAACGCAGCTCAATACGGTACAAGTTTGGCCGCGACCGTACATATGCAAAGTGCGAATGTAGGATAAACACATCCCGGCTCCAAGTAGGCATCTAAATGCACCACCAGAAAGAATCAAAGCGCTAGTCGGCCCTTTTGCACGTTGAATTGTTACTGCGTTATGGGTGCGGCTAAGATAGCGCGGGTGTGTACGATTTACAAATTCAATCACAAAAAACTGACACGTTCATTTCAACTTGAATACATTATGAAACAAGGCAAGGCGACGTCAGCGTATCACGTAATTTATTTGGTAATTTACATTCTGGGGATCCGTCTGGGACCACTCGCATTTCGGGATTTCCCTCTGGACATCGAACGTTTTCTCGCCTCTGCACCATGTACGCTGTCGCTTTGACCGCACGTGCCACACGGCAGCAGCTGCGCTCCACCGCCATGAAGGTAAGCTAAATCTTCTAGTAGACGCCACACAGCATCAACCTTCCCCTACAAATGGAACCCTTTTAGTGACTGAATTTTGCCCATCTCTACAGGCCAGTATGTCGTCTAGCTGTGGTGTTCCTGTGCCTCTGTCTGTACTGGACCCCAAGGGGAGCCCCACAATTGATCAGACCTACGAGAAGATAGAGAAGAACCTTCATACGGTTCGCAAAACCACAGGGAACAAGCCCTTGACGCTCGCTGAGAAGATCATTTACGGCCACTTGGACGATCCTACTATCAAAGCCAAACGCGGCGAGACGTATCTAAAGCTTCGTCCTGACCGTGTAGCCATGCAAGATGCTACAGCTCAGATGGCTGTGTTGCAGTTCATTTCATCAGGTCTGCCCAAGACTGCTGTGCCTACGACGATCCACTGTGATCACTTGATCACGGCTGAAAAGGGCTCGGATACTGATCTGGATAACGCCAAGATTATTAACAAGGAAGTGTACGACTTTTTGTCGTCAGCTGGCGCCAAGTTTGGCATGGGGTTCTGGAAGCCTGGCAGTGGAATCATTCACCAGATTGTTCTGGAAAATTACGCCTTTCCTGGAGGTCTTATGATTGGAACGGACTCGCACACCCCCAATGCTGGTGGATTGGGAATGTGCGCCGTCGGCGTCGGTGGTGCTGATGCTGTTGATGTGATGGCTGGCATGGCCTGGGAACTAAAGGCCCCTAAAGTCATTGGTGTGAAACTGACAGGAAAGTTATCGGGCTGGACGTCCCCGAAGGATGTAATTCTTAAGGTAGCTGACATTTTGACCGTCAAGGGTGGAACCGGTGCCATTGTGGAGTACTTTGGCCCCGGTGTCGAGTCCATTTCATGCACGGGTATGGGCACAATCTGTAACATGGGTGCTGAAATCGGTGCCACGTGCTCTACATTCCCTTTCACGGAGCGCATGGGCGACTACCTGCGCTCCACCAAGCGTAGCGGCATTGCCTCGGCTGCTCAGTCGTTCCAGGCCAATTTGCGTGCCGATGAGGGCGCCCACTATGACCAGATCCTTGAGATTAACCTTGACGAGCTGAAGCCGATGCTGAACGGTCCGTTCACGCCTGACCTTGGCCACATTGCTGGTGCCGACATGAAGGAGGCCAGCGAGAAGAACGGCTGGCCCACAGAGCTGAGCGCCGGTCTGATCGGATCATGCACCAACTCTAGTTACGAAGACATGACTCGCTGCGCTGACCTGGCGAAGCAGGCTAAAGACGCAGGCCTCGAGTTCAAGGTGCCGTACTACGTGACGCCTGGCTCGGAGCAGGTACGCGCCACCATTGCCCGCGACGGCATTCTGGACACATTCCTCGACTCTGGTGCTACGGTCCTCGCCAACGCTTGCGGCCCATGTATTGGCCAGTGGAACCGTACTGACGTGGCTATGGGTGAGAAGAACTCAATTTTAACATCTTACAACCGCAACTTTGCCAAGCGTGCTGACGGTAATCCCGCCACGCACAGCTTTGTGACGTCCCCCGAGATGGTGACCGTTGGCTCGATCGCGGGCACTATCACGTTTGACCCGTCTCAGGACACGATCAAGACTCCAGATGGAAAGGATTTCAAGTTCACTGCTCCGTTTGGCAAGGAGCTTCCGCCACGTGGATTCGACCCCGGTGAGGAGACGTTTCAGGCCCCGCCTGCCAGCGGTGAAGGTTTGTCGGTGCACGTTGACCCGCAGAGTGAGCGTCTGGCCCTTTTGTCTGCATTCGACGAGTGGAACGGCGAGGACCTGGTGGATATGCCGGTGCTGATCAAGGCAAAGGGCAAGTGCACGACTGACCACATCAGTATGGCTGGCCCGTGGCTGAAGTACCGTGGGCACTTGGACAACATCTCAAATAACATGTTGATCGGTGCTGAGAACGCCGAGACCGGCGAGACAAACAGTGTTAAGAATCAGATGACGGGCAAATTCGACAAGGTGCCCGAAGTGGCCCGCCAGTACAAGGCTGACGGTATTAGCTGGGTCGTGATCGGTGACGAGAACTACGGTGAGGGCAGCTCACGCGAGCATGCCGCTTTGGAGCCGCGTCACCTTGGTGGCCGTGCTGTAATTGTTAAGTCGTTCGCGCGTATTCACGAGACCAACTTGAAGAAGCAAGGCATGCTGCCGCTGACGTTTGCGAACCCAGCGGACTACGACAAGATTACAGGGAACGACAAGGTGGCCATCCTTGGCCTGAAGACTTTCTCGCCTGGCAAGCCGCTGACGCTACGTGTGACTCCTGCCTCCGGTGAGGCTGCGTTCGACATTACGGTGAACCACACGTTTAACGAGGAGCAGATTGAGTGGTTCAAGAATGGCAGCGCACTGAACGTGATGAAGAAGAGCAACGCGTAAGTAAGTTGCATGTTGACAAGCTCTTAGGAAAAAGTGAATTGAAGAGATACAGACAGATGCCTTGCAATCATAGTGTGAAGAGCAGCCCGTTTCTATTATATTACTAGTAAGAGGTCGCTATAACGTCATAGGAGGTAAGATTTAGAAATCGCACTTAAAAGCAGAATCATATAGATTATTTTCTATTATCTCACAATTCGATCCAATATGGCGGGCAGTGGACCGAGTATCGGCAATTATACGCCTTTCACAGGCTTTGTCTTCATTTTTAATCTCATTGTGGGTGCTGGTGCACTCACTATCCCTCACGCTTTTGCCAATGTAAATTATGTCCTGTAGCTGCAAAGAATAATCGATCTTTTAACCATTTTAACGTCGTGCAGGTTGGAATTATTTATGGATCCATTGCTTTATCTTTCCTGGCGTCTATCAGTTATATGACGGCCACGTTCATGGTTGAATCTATTGCGGGCGTTAATGCACTAAAGCGACGCGCTTGTGAGCTCGGAATGGACGCCAGCAATAGCGATAAGAAGCGGTTGTTGGACGAGCGGAGCGACAGTGATGACAGCGACGCGCATACGGAGTTTGTGCCGTTAGTGGTCGCCAATGAAGTACTATTGGATATTCAGGGCCTTGTGCTTGGACCAGTAGCTCATTGATGTGTGATGGTACAGACACAAGACGCACTGGAACGGAATGTACGATTAAAAGCTAGGGAGCCGAGACTCCATTATGATCTTTCCAATAAGGTACGTCCTGGAAGGTGATTGTGCAGTTTGCGAAATGCAGGAGCTAAGTATTGTGGTGATGTAGATGGAACTGGCTGAAATGGCCGAGCTGCTGTTCAGCCACCGAGGCATTGTTGCATTCTACGCATGTATTACAGTGTATCTATATGGTGACTTGGCTATCTATGCTGTCGGTATGTTGGCAAGTCTGAGGTAACAATCGCACATTCGTCGTGATGCTAATAAGACCTGTTGATGTTTGTGTGGGTTTATATCTCGAATGCAGCCGTCCCGAAGTCTCTGCGAGAGATTATCTGTCCACGTCCCTCTGCTGATGCAGTTGTCTGGGAGTGCTCCAGCAGGTTCAACAGCTCGGACTTGTACCGCCTTTTTGTTGTGCTCTTTGGTTTGCTACTCGGTCCCTTCACATTTGGCCACGTGAACAAGACGCGGATACTCCAGCTCGTTTCTACTGTCATCCGCCATGCGTCGTTTGGGCTCATGATTGTGCTCGCCAGTGTTGGCATTGCGCAAGGACACGGACGAAGCGTAACTGACGTCGTGAGCTATGAAAAGCCCCGCAACGTCACTACCTTTTTCGGCGTGTGCATATATTCATTCATGTGCCACCACAGGTATGTAAAACGACCAATTTGTTGCGTATGATCGGGGTTGATCCAATGATCTGAATCACTTGCTTTGCTTATTTGACAGTATCCCGGGTCTTGTTGCACCTATTACGGACAAAACCAAAGTCCGTACGATTTTGGCAGCGGCCTTTATAGTACGTTGTTGTACCGTCCAATGCAGTGCTACTACGTGTGTAGTGGTTATGCTGATGATTGTTGCTAACATGTGTACTTGTAGGCGGTCCTTAGTGTTTATTTCGTGCTGTGTACCTCAGCAATCTTCCGTTTCCGGTCAGAGGACGTCGAGGTTTGGTTGCAGTGACAATGTTGTTACTAACCAGAGCTCATACATGTTTCGTTGTGTATTTTACCATTCATACTTCTACTGGGTAGGATGTGTATACACTGAATTTCAAGGATTACCCGATCCAAGCGTTTGGATACTTTCTGAGCTTCTTCCCGGTGTTCACGCTAAGGTGAGAAAGTGTTTTGTCGTTCTTTTTCAGTAGAAATGCAATGCTAATGAAGCGATCAACCACAGCTCAACCTTTCCACTTATCTGCATCACACTCCGTGAAAACATCCGGCACCTCGCGTCACGTATCAGCAATTCAACATCAGCAAACACCATTACTCCTCCTCGGTCTGGCCTGTACGGCTTCTTTCAAACCAACTTGTACGCGTTAGTGGCGCTTCTGCCGCCACTCGTGGTGGCGATCTTCACTGAGGATGTGTCAATGCTCGTGAGCTTTACAGGCGCATATGCTGGATTGGGTATTCAGGTACGTCATGAATCGATTTGTGGCTTGGTCTGTTTTCTCAAGTACGTACTTACAACTACTCGACCATGTGTAATGAATGTTATACTTTAATGTTGCAGTGGATTGTCCCGACGTTTCTCGTCTTTTGTTTACGCCGTCGTTTGGCAATCGAATGGCATCAGATGCACCCAATGCAAATGATACGCCCCGATGCTGTCGCATCGTGCGAGAATAAGAACCGTTTTGCAAGTCCTTTCAAGCACGAGACGTGGCTGTATCTGGTGCTTGGACTCTCTCTGTTATTTCTTGTACTAATTACTGTAACACATGGCATGCACTAATCCTGGACGGAAGAAAGAGTTGACTTCAAGTGGATAACAACAACAACAACAAGACGCTTAAAAATTAACATCGTCATGTCGTGGCTTGCGTCAATTTTTATGTCGCTACCAATTACAGAAACTCGGTGGCCATTATTGCTGTTACTTAAAAAAGTCACTTTTCCTTTGTATGGGCCATACACGGCATTATAATCTGTCTCGTTTGTACTGAATTGTTGATTCGCAAGGTGTTTTCAGCCAATGAACGACGTATTTTTCTCAGCCTAATTCCGACTCGGACAAAAAAATACGCTCTCTGTCGTTACACCGCGTCTCGTCGCCTTTAAATCAGCGGCCCGACGACCTCGTTCTCGTACTCGACACGTCTTTGTTTGTGTCTGTGCCTTGCTGTTTTATCGTCGTCTGGACGAGAGAAGAAAGAAATTTCCACTAGCAACAAGAAGAGAAAACGAATTGCCACGTACTTGTCGTAGCTCTTTCATGGCAGCATTTAAAGGTCCGTTTTAAGCCTTTTTAACCATTGAATTATCGTATTGGAGCTAATTTTTAGGTATTATATCATGCAGCTCCCCCACTCTCGGCCTTTTTCCGTAAGGAAGAGGACAATTTAGTCACGCAAGGACTCACGGATGTACACGGTGTAGCCATGTTTCATTCGCTATACGATGTTGGCGATCTCATTGGTCGTGGCGCTTTTTCACTCGTGTATCTCTGTCGGAGAAAAGAGACTCAGCAGATTTTTGCTGTCAAGGTCATTAATAAGGCACTTTGTGTCAAGAAGAAGACGCTACGGGATGAGATTACAGTGTTACTTCGTGTGAAACACGCCAATATCATTAGTCTTGAAGAAGTTTATGAGAGTGACAAGGAACTACTTCTTGTGATGGAGAGGTACGTGGTGGGATAAAAAAAACACACTGTACGGGTGTTGATATGATGGCTGAACTGATTAATTGACTTGTTGTAGAGTTACGGGAGGTGAGCTGTTTGATCGCATTGTACGGGTGGGTGTGTACTCGGAGCGCCAGGCGGCAGAGATTGTCACAAATGTCTTGGACGCACTCAACTACCTGCACTCGTGCAACATTTTACATCGTGACATTAAGCCAGAGAACATTCTTCTTGCCAGTGGTGACAGTGGTGACATTAAGCTCAGTGACTTTGGCATTGCCAAAATCTTGGAAGATGAAGATGACGGTGCTCGTTCTCGTGGTCGCGCATACACAAGTTGCGGGACGGACTACTATGTTGGTAAGTGGAAAAGAGAAGATTTGTGTGGATGTTAACGAGGTTTTGACATGTTTCTTTTCTCTTAGCACCTGAGGTTCTAAACGGAGAAGGCTACGACAGTAAAGTGGATCTGTGGAGCCTTGGTGTTGTTTTGTACATCATGCAAGTGACCGTGTCTATCTGACACTTACCGAGTGCTAGAGTTGAATTTCAGAGTGCTAATGATGCTGCTGTATTGTTTGATTAGGTTGTGCGGGTTTCCTCCATTCGCGGAAGATGAAAATGGCTTGGAGTCTGTGTACCTTAAGATCCGCTCTGGCGCATTGGATTTCCCTCACCCATACTGGACAAATGTATCGGATGGAGGTATGCATACTCTTGACTTGTCAACGCGATGACGTTTGATTAACGACTGTCCGTGTGACTCTGTTCGAGTAGCCAAGGATTTGATCCGCAACCTGCTTGACGTGTCACCGCAGGATCGCTTCAGCGCAGCGCAGGCGCTAAGTCACCCTTGGATAAAGGGCGAGTACAGCGAGCAGCCGCTTTCGTCGGCTATTATGGAGATGAAGCGTTTCAACCAGAAGCGTCGTTTCAACTAACTCAACGTTTAAGCTCCAACGACGGCTGCTGGCAAGACGAAAAAACGAGATAAAGCATAAGAGCGGTAGCCGGACAAACAAGCAGCGGTTGCTGGGGACGCAACATAGACGTATTTCATGGGGTATTCGCCCTCTCCGCCAGACGCACCTTCCGTACATATATAGAAATGATATGACATGAATGCATGTTTAAATAAGCAAAAAACAGCTTCAATCTTGTTTTTCTTCCTTCACACGTCCCCCCGACCACCAAGTAGCAATCGACGCCTTCAAGTCTTGTAACTGTGCGCTATCGCGGATGTAGCGAACGCCATCAATCATCAAGCTGTATACAAGTAATGGGAGATGTTAGTGATCTTTGTCAATAAACAGGTGCCCAAGACCCTTCCTTAATCAAACCTTGAGTTCTTCGTAATAAGAAAAACGTTTGCTACATGATCTGGGATATCGTGAGCATTAGCAAAAACACCTTCTTTCTTCACTCGAGACGCAAATACGGCCAGCCGACTACAACACCGACATTAGACACTCGACAATGATCTACACTTGTAATTGAACTGTACATCACTCACCTGATCTGTGCGGCTGCAGATACAATGTGCGTTCCAGTGGTCACCGCCTTTGAAAACGTGATACTGCCCTCTAGGCAATAGATACAGCCCTTAACATTACCCCAGACACGAACAAGCGGCGAATCTAGCAGCATCAGTTCTAGCCCGTCCTTTTCCTGTAGACTTCCGGTATGGTAGCAATCATAAAGGTCCCTTGCACTTTGGTACTCAGACACGACAAACGGCACCAACGGCAGCGATATGATCCCAAAGAAAACGGTAAGGAGGCCGAAAACCACGAATGATGGACATCTTTTGATAAACAACATTGCCAAACCAAATGACTTTCGAGGCGGAACAGCTTTCAGACTTTGCTTCATATAAGCGACCAGCAACTGAAGTTCGTCAGTAATTTCCATATTTGTGACTTGATCTCGCAAATGACGCAGCTCAGGACTGAATGTCCGCACTGCCGCCTTCTCCATAGCGTCAAAGCACTCAGTCAGCATCTTTGACAGCACGTCAAGCGAAAAGTCTGTAGGCTGCTGCCAGTATTCTACGATCCAGTTTCCCAGTCCCAAAAAGAACCACGCATCCAAGTCAACATCAGCCTGTATATTGCTGGCTACATCACTGTAAAGCCTCTTGAATGCACGTCGACAGATTTCCTGCAGGTCTGACGACGTCACAGAGCCCAGTACAATTCCACCAGCATCAATGAATGCAGGTCCGAGCAGCCGTATGGTATCAGCCCATTGACCACGCCAAAAAACCCAGTACACGATCGTCGTAAAGTATGCAGCAAACTTGAGTCGTTGTCCTTCACCCCACAACTTGGCCTGTTGTCCAGCGACAGTACGCAGAGAGTTGGCCACGAGTACTCCTACCACTGCTAGCACGATGAAGATCAGACGTACATCTTGTTGCAAGAAAAGCATGAATTTTAGCTGTCCAAATACCTTCATGACTACGGGAATTACAGCAATAATCCATGGGGCCGATGTAAAAGCACCCAACTTGTCGGTAGACGTCTCCACCCAATCTTGTGCGAACCGTAGGGCTCGTTCTTTAAGCTGAGACCGATAGAAACATATCAGCAACATCGATATCACCATAATCTTCTGTCGATGCATGATCGCTTGAGCTAGCAATCCAAGAAAAAAAAGTCCTAGACCAATTGTCACACGTCGCACGTTCAACAGCTCCGAGAAAACATACACAGCTGCAAGTCTCCCCAGCTTCAGGACATCGAGATGTTCCAGAACTTGTTCCATCTTGGCTTGAAACACAGTGACCTCTTTTTGTCTACGACTCTGCACTTTGGTCTCCTTTGTTCCATTAGTCAGCACGTTACTAAGACCAGATGCAACATAGGTCTGTGCACGCTGAGTAATCTGATTTGACCCGTGTTCATCTACAGACTGAGCGTCACATGCTTTTTCCGCATAAGCTGTTCCTGTGACGTCAAAATCCAGTTGATCCTCAGTCTTTAAAGCTTCGTCCTCATTCTCGGCTTCTTCTTCTTCTAATAACTTGTTTAAAACTGCTACTCGTGCTTGCTTTAGTCCCATCTGAAGCTCCTCATTCTGAGGATGTACTTTTAATCCTATCACATCAGCGTAGACAATACAAAAGTGTCAAAAGGAAGCTCTCATTGTAAATAGTTGACGAGGTACTAATACTCAGCATTATAGACTGCACTCTATTTACCTTTTTTGTACCATGTCACAGCATCTTCATATCTGTGCAGACGAGACAGTGCTTCAGTCAGCAGAAGAAATCCGCGAGCCTGTGTTGTGTCTAGAGATACAATAGTAGAAGCGACTTTTACTGCTTCGTTCAAGGCAGATGTCGTCCCGTTATCGAGCAATTGCTGGCAATGCAGTGATTTCTCTTTGAATGCGCTGGAATTCTTCATAGTAACTCGGCGATTTTGTCCATCAACTGGAAAGCCAAAGACTCAAAATGATTCTTAGTGACCATTTCGAGTTTTGAAAGACTAAAGTTGGTCAATCTTTTACGTACATAAGTGAAGATTCACCAAAAGATCACTTTTGACACAAATCAAAGAAAACGTCGCAGCAAAGAAGAGCAAAAGGTGTTCCCCACCGGGACTCGAACCCGGGTCTGCTGGGTGAGAGCCAGCTATCCTAACCGCCTAGACTATATGGGAAGGAAAGAATGACACTTGCGCCTGCCATGCCACAATATTGCAAACTATCCCACGTTACACGATCCACGCTGCACATGCTCCGCACTAGTATGCCTGCAGCCGGCACTATCACCTCCTCACCCTCAACTGTTTTTCTGCATTCGACGAAACCCAAGCTAAATAAATCACGCGCACAAAGTTATATAGTAATACGGTGCCTAAGTTGTGCGACGCCTTTTAGGTTCTATGCGATAGGACAACTTGCGTAGAAGTCGTTCCACACCGCTACACGCACGTTAGGTTGTTATGGTACGGCATGACATGGAGGTGCATCGCATTAACATAGCCAGTGCCATTGCTAATATGGAGGAGTGGGGTCCACAAAATTGCTGATGTGATCCTAAAACTCCAATGACATCCGGACGACCGATTAATGGAGGATGTAATCGAATTACGTGTATAAAGCCTTCCTCACCTTGTGTATCCTTCGGTTGGGCGGTTTGCTACTCTTTTCAGTGGACTTGAGTCGATTATGATAATAATTCTCCTTTGAGGTAGGGGTGGTGGTGGTGATCGTGTGAAAAATCTTCACACCATTGATCTAATATGTAATGGGGCACCCTCCGACTATACTGATTACAGTATAGTCTACTTTCACTGATGACAGTGAAAGCAGGTGCCTCAAAACCTCTCTTACACAAGAGGCAGAGGAAGCTTACTCCTAAACGATACGCTTAGAAGTAGAGGAAAAGAGAACGTATTTAACATAGTTAACTATCTAATAAAACTAATCTGTTATAACCTATGTTAACTATATTAAACTACAACTATGTATGTTGACAACTTCCCTCCACTCATTGCGCGCGTCCATCGGTCATTGGTCAGCGCGTTGGTTGATATGATGGCCCATATCAACCAATGAGAGGGCATCTCTAACTTCAAGGAGATCTAGGAACAATATTATAAGAAAAGATAATATTGTCAAATATTATTAGTTATAATAATATTTTTATTGACACTTCATATAAATCTCAATATTATGTAACGGGGTGAGTCCGTTACATCACCCCCCCCCTCAACCAACAGTCACATTAGTTGACTATGGGAAAGGAGCATATGTTGGTTTTTTTTATTCCAACAATTTTACGCTATGACTAAGTCAATGCGCGTCGCTGCTAAGGCAGCTAAGAGCTCGGCTGCACGCCTGTGTGCAGCCGCTACTGAGGCTTCGCAGCCTCAGCCAGCAGACACTGATGTGCCTGCTGGAAGTCAACATCAGCCTGCAACGCCTGTTGCAGGTTCACGTGGCGCTTCGCCACGTGAAGATGTTGACCCAGAGTTAGCCGTTGAGAACTCTGGTGAGTCGGATTACGCATCCGACTCAAAGCCACCTATTCCACTCCCGGGCTCTCCCCGGGGTGATAACGCGTCGTCGAATGTTACGAAGAGGGATCGTGGTACATTGAGCGAATCAATGTACCGTGAAATGTTCGGGTCGTCTGATGAATCAGACGACTCGCCAAACGAATCGAAGGATAGTGACTCGGGTGGGGACCGTGAGGGTGATGTCAGTGCTTCTACTGACATCAATGTACGTGGTGGCGGTACTTCTGTTGACACCACGTAGGAGGCTTTAGACCGCAACGTATTGCGTCTTGCGCCTGATCGCAAGCCATGGATGCTATCTAAGCATCTGCGTGATCGTTGGTCTGGAAAGACCCACGAACGGTTTCCCATACCGTTGTTTGATGCGTCAAAGCTTCATGGCCTTGACGCCAGTGCGAAGAACTTTCGCACTGAGAACGACTATTACATCGATGTGTTTCTTGAACATCGATGGTATGGCCCACACAATAAGCGTGAGTCTGACGCGTTCTTCCAATCTTAGAACGCGTTTATCACCAACGTTTTAAACGTTGGGAAAGAGGCTTGGTTTCAAAAACTTTATGCTAGCCGCAATAAGTTTGAGAAACGAAGTACGTCTGGTGCATGCTATCGTTTGCACCGGTTATCTAGAGAGGCAGGCCTGTTATGCCTCTTTTGGGGCGAACCATGCCCGGGGTGCCTGAGCACCTCGTCAAGAGTGCCTAAGGAGGCGTACCTCCTTACTGAGCCCTGGTGGAGAGCTCGTATCTCTTCTGAGATGCGTGAAGGGATTGCTACTTTGCAATCCCCTTTACGAGCGCGCTGGGCGCTCGTTTTCCGATGGTCCTTCACCATCGGGTGTCCCTTGTCGTACTGTTCGACAAGGCCGGGAACGTCGGCCATCAGTTGGGCCCGAGGTTCCCAGCTATCCGCCGAAGGCGGATAGCCACGCCACCGGACGAGATAACTCGTCCGACGTCCCTTCACCTCACGGTAATATAGTAAGCGTTCCACGAGGAAGTGCTTCCCACCATGGAAGTCCACCAGCGGATGCGGTGGTGGAGGGAAAACCCTGTCCGATTCTTTCATCGGACTTGTCTGCTGAGTTAGACGGGTTTGCCCGTGTAACTCGTGAGCTACGTTGTGATGTTGACCACTAACGGGAGAAGCGTCGCCGCTTAGAGGACATTGTGCGACAGCTTGGGTTTGACCATGAGAAGTCTCGGGAAAACAATGCTGTCGCACTAATGGAGGATGAACGGCGACTTCATTCTTTAAGTAACGAGCTGGAGACAGCTCGTCAGAAGATCGTCCAATATCATGGGACGATCTCATCTCTACACGACCAGGTATCAAATCTGGTTCTTGACAACAAGAATCTGAAGGGGATTCTTGAGAGTAATGGCTATCTTCGCCGTTCGAAGAAGCCGCGTACTGAACGTACGGACGAAGACGTCCCACGTAAAACGTATGATGCGTACGCATCCTGCGTGGAAACTCGATCGTGTATGCGTTGCCTAGGCGGCGCAATACACGAAGCGGGTCGATGTACCTGGGCAACAATTTATTGCTTCCCACGTTAGTCACTACATGTTTAGGTAGGTTTACTGTTGACAGTAAAACTAAATCACCTTCAATAAATGTCTGAGCATTTGCCTTTCTATTATTGTCTGCGTTTCGCTTTTGCTTATCCACCGCTTCTGCGATGGAGTCTTGCACGAAACGGACTACCGCTTCACGAGTCAGCAGGAAATCCTCAGCTGACTCGTTGCTTTTGGCTGCAGTGCATTGTGAGTGCACTGCAGAGATATCGGTTACTAACTTAGCAAGAACATTACTGTTCTCACTTGTGATACCTCGAACGATGCTGATATCATCAGCATCGTTATCAGTAAGAGCGTCATCGCTCTTACTTTCTTCCTCTTCACCGAAGTCGAATGGTACGATTTCGGTTACTTTCGCGTCGACCATAACGTCGTCGCGTGATGAGCTAGAGCCAGATTGGTTCTCGCTCGAGCGAGTCCCCCCCCTTAAATTAGAGTCATCCTCTACTAAGGTGGGGACACGTGGATGGCGAAGGCCATTCACGTAGAACGGTGTATGCGTCGTGGACGCATGCACGGAGTTGTTGATGGCGAATTCGACCATCGACAAGAACTCACTCCAACTTGTAAAAGAGTGGACGTACCTTCGAAGAATCTCTTCGAGGACGCGATTGGCGCGTTCAGTCTGACCATCAGTTTATGAATGGTCAGAAGTAGACATTGTGAGCCGTGTTCCAAGTGTGTGGAACACGGAACGCCAAAACTCAGCCGTGAACCGGGGGTCCCTATCGGACACAAGTTCACGGGGTAAACCGTGCAATCGAAAGATTGTATCGATAAACACTCGTGCACATCCCTCTGCTGTGATCGACTCAGGTACAGCAACAAGATGTACCATCTTGCTGAACCTGTCTACAAACACGAGAATACCATTATTCCCGTGAGCGTCTTTGGGAAACCCAAAGACGAAGTCCATTGATACGGACTTCCAGCACTCTTCCGGAACAGGTAGAGGCTGCAATGGTGCACGGAGTGAAGGACTAGGCTTCACTCGTTGACACACCTCGCAAGCACGCACGTACTTGCGCACGAACTTATACTGGCGTGGCCAGTAAAAGTCGCGACTGACCGTGAGATAAGTCTTCTCACGGCCACGATGCCCACTTATTGGTGCATCGTGACATTCAAACATGATCCGTAACCTGAGATCATGTTGTGGCGGTACAACGACACGAGGCGTACGGCTGTGTAGTACAGTAAGCCGTCCCGCTGGGTGTATCGATCGAGAGAAGATCGATACATGGCAGGCAAGCGCTTCTTAGCTTGCTTGCATGGGTCCTTTAGGTACTCCATCAGGCGTACAAGATCATTATCTTGTGCGCATTCCCTTCTAATGTCGTCGAGTTTACTCGAAGACAAGACGCTGGTACTCAGCGACGACAGTGGTGTTCACATCACTGTCGGATTGCACAGTCGGCCTAAAGTAAGGCCGACGTAAAAGAGCATTGAAGAAGACGCTAAGTCGTCCCGGTTATGCTTCACGGAGAAGTTGTAGTCCGCGAGAACGAAAACCATCTCGCCATTATTTGCGAGAGGTGTGGACTGTTTACAGCCGTGCTCAATGATACATGGTCTGTATACACTATAAAAGGTCTATCTCCTAAGCGATATACACGAAAACTAGCCAGTGCATACTTCATGGCAAGGAGTTTCTTGTCATGCACCGGATAGTTGCACTCTTCTTGTTGCAGCTGACGCGGTTGGTAGCAGACGACGCGCTCTGCGCCTTCTGTGTCATATTGTATCAGTGCAAAGCCGATTGCAAAATTGCTGGCGTCACAGACCACATGAAATGGTCTGTCTTGATCGGCAATCGCCAATACTGGAGATTGCATCAAGCTTTGCTTGATACGTTCAAAGGGACGCTGACAGTCAGTGTTCCCATCCACTTAACATTTTTCTTGAGTAAACAAGAAAGATGTACTGTCATCTCGGTGTAGTTTCGTGAGTACTTGTGCAAGTACGCATCTAGCCCAAGGAACTTCCTTATTCCCTTGTCATCGACTGGTACTGGCCAGACGGTGATCGCCTTGATCTTTTCTGGATCAGGGCGTACGCCGTTCTTTCCGACGATGCACCCAAGAAGTGGTATTTCGCTAGCTGCGAATATACACTTCTTAAGGTTGGCGTACAACTTATGCTCGCGCATAAGTGTAAGAACCTTACGGACGTGGAGTCTATGGACTTCCACGTCTGTTTTCCCGTCCATAGCTCGACTATGGACGAACACATCATCGAAGTAACTCGGTGCGAATTCGCGCACCGGTCTCAATAGCTGTGAAACACATCTATTGAATGTGACCGGTGCATTACTGAGCCCTTGCGGCATCACAAACCATTTCCAGAGCATACCACTGGGAGTGCTCACTGCTGTGTACGGGATGTCCCGTTTACGCATTATGATCTGATAGAAACCATCCATCAGATCGATGGACGAAAAGATAATACTCTTAGACATACCATCTATGATTACGTCCTTTCTCGGTATCGGCGTTTGCGCCGGTATCGTTGCAGCGTTCAACTTATTGAACGCGTGCACTATCCGCCACCCTCCTGTGGCCTTGCGCACACAGAAGGTCGGAGAGCTGTGAGGTGAAGTTGACTCCATCACATGGCCCGCTGCTAGGCGATTGGCAAGAACAAGTCGATCGCCTCGACCTGTTCCCGTGGCAGTGGCCACTGCTTCATGACACAATATTTTGTGCCTGGAACGAGGTCGATATCGTGTCGGGTACCTTTATCCTTAGGTTTCCTCACACATAACGGATACAGAGAATACATCCTTGAATTCGACCAAATCCTTATACAAAGTATATGACTTCAGTGACTCCCAGGATTGCGATGTGCATCGCTTAATCCGAGTCTTCTCATCAAGGACACTTTCGTCCATTGTTGAGCTGCTGAGAACATTTTCGTTCTCGGCAAATACTTTTTCAAACCGAATGTCAGTCATGTACTCGTCCTCTGCGACGAGCACACAGATCTGCTTGACTTTGCCACTACGCAGATCACGCAAGAACCTTTTAGAATCGAGCGTAGGCAACTCCGGTATCTCCGAATATAACTTTGGAGGCGCGATCAGATCAAGCGTATAAGCGCCTACGTTTGATCCGTCATCAACCAAGACGTTTAACGTCTCGGTTACTTTCTGGGGACTTATTCCCTCAGTAATTATTTCCTGGGGACTTATTCCCGCAGGCTCGATGGAACTTGTTCCATCGACTTCCTCTAGCTGTGGTGGCGCAACCACAGCGAGATTCTCTACGTTCAACTCTCCAGTTGATCTAGGATTACCGTGTTGCCGCTTCTGGGCAAACAGTTTACTCATCGGTGAATGCTGCCCTCTAAGCGAGCATTCATGTCCCGATCCACTCGACTTGCTCGAGTGATGGACCTTCGGCGCTGCCTGTGCTTGTGCACAGCCGCCGGCATCTTGCTCCACAGTGTGACTGTCTGTCACACTGAGTTCTTGTGCAGTCGTGCTAGCGACCGAGCCACAGGAGCCTATCACACTCACTCGCAGAACACTCACACGCTTGTGAACTCTCCAAGACGTTCATCAGATGGCCATCAGATGAACAAGCGGTAGGCATCTTTACGGTTCGATGCTGCCAGCTGACCCATGGCTCGTACCTTCTGAGCCATGGTAATCCTAGGATGACATCAAATTTGTCATCCAGATCAAGTACGATGAAATCATCATCGTACTTTTTGCCTTCAAGCGTGTAGTGAATTCCCACTACACGTTTTTCTACTGTTACGGATGCGCCCGTTGCAAGGCGCACCGTCATCCTCGTTGGAGAGGTCTCGCGCTTAACATATATGAGCCTACGATCATCTAGCGATTGGCGTCGAACAAAGTTGTTCGAAGCCCTACAATAAACTAGGGCGCGAAGTGACATGTTCTTTGTCACTTCGATCTTCAAGGTGATGAGGGATACCTCATCACTGGGATGTGTTGGGAGCAACCTTCGTCAAGAGTCCCGCGAACTCTCTTGACGTTGCTGGATCAGTAGGGCGCTCCGCCCCTACTGACCCCGACCGTTTTTTGATGGTCCACTACGTTGTTGCGATTTTGCAGCAACGTGGGACCCACGTCTCTGGCCCTTCTTGGCAGACGATCGATCGTCACTCCCAGTGTTACGAGACACTGGGCGTGGGGCACTACACTCATAAGCGTAGTGGCTCAACTTCTGACAGCGATTGCACTTTTGCTATTGCTTGTACCCTGGAGAGCGAGGTCGCTCGCTCTCTACATAGGAGAGATCCATTGGTTCTGGACCTCCGCTCTCCTGTCGTCTCGGTGGACGATAGGACCCCGAGTGGACGTGAGCCTGTTGTAGGCTAAAGTCCTCCTGTTCCGCTGCCGAGATCGCTTGATCCAGCGATTCTAGTCCCAAGCGGAACAGGTGGGTCTTGACAGGACCATCTGTCAGACCCTTGATGAACACAGTAACCTGCGTGTGTTCATCGATTGGGTTCAGTACGATACAACTAACGAGGTATCGTACGTGTTGGGCGTAAGCGTGTATATCACGCTTACCCTATTCAAATCCAGAAGCTCAGCCGAGCCCTGAATTCGGTGCGAGGGCGCGAGCCGGTTCAAACGTGTGTTTGAGCCGCGCCTTGAAGACGTCATACGTTGGGTAAACGTATGGGTCATGCAGTTTGAGCCCTAAGGCACAAGCTTTGGCACGTCCTGCCAAGTTCGACATGGCGAACTTGACCTTCATCGCATCGTCGAGCTCGACGAACCATCTTAACAAGGAGTCGCTTTCGACCGCCTTGTACCTGGAGACATTAATCTTCAAGGACTCGGGTCGACGTGTATACGCCGACCCGGCAGCAACAGCACTAGCCTGCTGTTGTCTCAACAGTTCAGACTGTTGAGCGCCTTGTTCTATCAACAGTTCAACCTGTTGAGAACCTTGCTCCTGTAGCAAGGTGGGTTTCTTTACAACTTTGTCAAGTTCATGTTGTATGAACTTGGCGATGGTTGCATGTTGGTCGTCTCCGCTAAGAGAGAGCAACATGGCACCAACGGCAGGGTTGCCGATGGTTTCATCCATACGCTGAACCGCATTCCATTCGAGGTCACTCAAGTGGCGGAAATCATCACCCGCTGATTCCATAGCGGATGGTGCGGTGGTCGCTGAACGGACCACGAAGTGCTACCAGGTCCTCCGACTATACTGATTACAGTATAGTCTACTTTCACTGATGACAGTGAAAGCAGGTGCCTCAATTACCTTACGTACACGTGAGCAGAGGAAGGCAATCAACTAAACAAACGCTTAGTTGAGAAGGAAAAGAAAACTGTATTTAATATGGTTAACTATCTAATAAAACTAATCTGTTATAACCTATGTTAACTATATTAAACTACAACTATGTATGTAGACAACTTTCCCTCCACTCATTGCGCGCGTCCATCGGTCATTGGTCAGCGCGTTGGCTGATATGATGGCTCATATCAACCAATGAGAGGGCATCTCCAACTTCAAGGAGATCTAGGAACAATATTATAAGAAAAGATAATATTGTCAAATATTATTAGTTATAATAATATTTTTATTGACACGTGTCAATATTATGTAACGGGCTCACCCCGTTACACATTAATTTTGTCATTGGCACTGCCCGAAGTAGAGGCGTGGGCGTCAACGACGAGTAATGCAATGTCTTCTGACGATTTTGGTGGCTAGATGCTGGAAGCTCCTCTGCAATTGATTTGTTATTTAGTTTGTGCTACGTCCAGTTTACGCTGTGACAGTCTTCTCAGCACGTCTGACCATTTCCTGGACTTATATATGGAGCAATTGAGAGCACACTAAATGAGTTAATTCGTTGCCGTTGCATGCAGAAAAGTTGGCGTAAACTGATCAGCATTCGACACTGCAGACGTCGAGGTGAAGGCACGGCGGAATAAGATGTTAAAGAGAGCAGAAACGAGACGAAACAAGTACAGCAGACAATTAATTAGGAAGAAGAGAGAGATACTGTGGATGCAGCAAAGAAACAGTTACAGGTACTGGAGCTTAAGCTGCAAGAGCTGCCGGACCTGAAACATGTTAAATTTCAGCTGCTTAAGGACTTTTTTTTTTAGTGGAGGAAGCCAGGTCAAAGACGACTTGAGGTGGGGCGACGGCTTCTGTGGCGATCGCCAAAGAAGCGACGTGTGGAAGATCAGAAGCTTAATACGTTGCTCAGTCTAGCACAAATGCAAGTGCCTAGCTACTTTGACAGAGGTAGCTGGCTTTGCTACTACGAGTGGCTTGAACGTCCCCGGCAAACTTGAAGCCTATGGCTACTAACAGAGTTTGAGGTGTCAGAGTCTTGTAGACGGTAGATCAAGGCACGAGACTGGTGCGTTTTGGTCACTTATGTGCGCGTATTATTTCTCTTTCGTGTAATGTCGTTTCTCTTGGGACTTCTTGTGAAGAATGAGTCGCTGGAGACTTTTTGTCTTTCGTCAAGTAGTGAGACAAGAGGGTGTGTCGTGTGATGAACTGTGATGCGGTGACGCCATCGAGTGCTGAAATATTTGTTCTTCTGCTGCATCTTTTGTTGCTCGACTGGATTGAAGTATCTCATCATTGACTTGTTCAGCCATCACAGCGTTGATTGCAGCCGCTGTAGCCCTCGAATTTGTGGGAAATGCCTTCGTCTTTCCTTGTGATTATTGAGTCTGTCATTAATGGCACGGATTCTCTACTGCCTCTTGTAGTTCCGTCTGTGCTTCCGACACCATTTGCTTTCCCGTAAATTCTTGTGACTTGATCACCGCGACACTTTAAGAGCCTATCAGCTGCGTCTTCTGCATCTTCTTATCGAGCGTCAAATTGGTCTGCTCCTGCTCCAATGTCTTGTTGATCGGCGATTGAGACTATGCGCATGGATGTGATTTATATTAAAATGGCAACATAAACCACTAGAGGTATTGATGGGCACCAGGGCTTTACCACCCAGCATCAATATCCACGTCTTGAACGTGAAGCGGAACGACTGCTTACTAATTTTTCAGAAATGCTGTTCGCCAACTCTTGTGCTGGATGAACGAAGACTTTTACGTGGTCAAGAATCTGCTAAACGTCACAGCAATTTCGTGCTCCATACGGATATGTATGATGAATATTTTTACATGTTCTCGCATCGAAGGTGCTCGATTTCTTGCAGGAAAGTATGTACATTGCCAGCATCAAGACTGGATCTCCCTCGTACCTCATCTCGTTAATCGCCAATATAGTGGAGCAGATGCTTTGCCTAAGATAGTAAGGGAAAAGGCCCCTAGTAAATAGGAGCTGATAGTGTTCACGTCGCTGTCGGAAGCGAAACGTGACCCTGAGGATCTTGTGCTCTGCTTTGTCTACATGCTGCCTACACTGCGAGCGTGCAGACATGATGCGGAATTCCGAGCTATGGAGAAGGACTTTGGCTTGCGACAAAGCATCAAGCGTCGGGACACATTTCTAGCCACGGCGTTTGTTTTGTGACGCATCCTGTCCGGAGCGAGACCAGCGAAAACGCTCGCGTCGTTGTCGAACATTCATGGCTCACTCGCAACATCTTACTTGCTACCTGTCGTGAGCTTTGCGAGATGCAATCTCACTGAACGAGGCCCCTTGTCTTTTGTGCACGATAACCACCTGTAGCATGCGCCACCACGAAATAAGGACGAAAGCCTCCAGTACATTCGACCCGCCCGATGAGCATTGAGATATCTGAAGTAGACCTGGTAAACTTAAGCCGTGCTGAGCTCAAGAGGCATGGTGCCGTATCCGACAGCTGCACAAATGCCCGACCCAAATACCAGGAAATTCAATCACAATCTCCACAATATCAACGATTTGCATTGTACGCACTGTAAACAGTAATGCACCACGATCAAGACGCGTGTAGGAGGCCTTAAATACCTATCAACCTTCACCTCTACTATCCTCTCACGAGAGCGGGTCCTAGCCAAACCAACGCATCCCAAACATATCCAAGTCTTAATCTGATACATCCGGGGATCCTCAACAAGTCTTTTGTCTTTGCACTTTTTCAATTGTAATCGAGTGGCTACGAGCTATAACTCAATATCACGCTACCAGCTCTAGTAGCCATTTTGTAACAAGAAGAACGTTTCAGCTAATGGGTGTAGAGTAGCGTAGACGATTAAAGGATGACCCGGGCTGCATGCGATGGCGACACCAATCCTGTCGACAAGAGGGAGTAGCACCACAAATGATGCCCGGCTTGTCAGTTCGCAGAAATTCAACGGTTAACAGAAGACACGAGGGGCGTCACGTGATGGCCGCGAGTTAACAAAACTCGAGCCTGCACAGTCTAATCTTTCAGGGGATGACCTTGTTGATGCTGTGCATATACTGATTGATGACAAGAACGGCGGTTAGCACTCCTGTCATGTGCTCACCGACATAGTGCTTTGAGAATCTGGGCAAGTGCAGCTGGAAAGCAGATGCAAACCACATAGTACATGTATTTCGTTGTGGTAAACCAAAGCTCAAAGGCTGATGGCCATCTTGGTGACAGCAGGGAACACGTTTGGTCCATGCATCTCTAGAAAAGGATTGCGAAGGACGAGCTATAAGAAAATGTACCACATGTTGTACAGACAGATATATGTGTTCATGACAATGTATGCTAAATGAATGGCAAACGATAAAGCCATTGATATGAACAGTAGTAGATCTTTTTACAGCATTAGCCGCATTTCGGACGTCCCAACCTATTCCTTTCTTACGGTTATGATCAAAGCCATTTGCGAAACTTTTCATCACCTGCCCAGAGCTTCTAGCATGTCCACAAGAGCTTTTTCGTACTCGTACCATTAATGCCTCGATAGCATATACACCAAGTGTCGCCGGCAAAGTGCATCTCCAAAATTAAGATTCTCCATCCTTTCTTTTTTTCCACTTGCGTTTGCGTTAGCGTTTGCTTTTCCATTTTTTAGGTTCTGGATCCATTGGGCTAGAGCGAGGGACCGGGCAGACTTTTGGTCACTCTGCTTATATAATGTCTCAAAATTATTCAATGTATATCCCCACTGTTCCATCAAAGTATGAACCTGTTCAACTGTAAAGGTCTTCGGTCTATAACGAAAATTCCAAGCATCAACGTACATCACCAATATATCGTAACGAGAGAAATTGCAACCGGTTTCTGGGGCTCGTGGCGATAGACCGAGACGGGCCATGACAGCTTTTACACCAAACTTTTTATGGAGCCAGAATTTAATCAACTCATTTGTTATTTGCGTTTTGGCGTATTGCTGTAACCGTCGCAGAGCCTTATCAAAGTTGTCTCGGCTGCCGATGTGCTGCACCATTTCACTTGTCTGAGCTATGACCACTTTGTCCATATCCGGTAAACACACCGACTTTATTAAAGCTTCTTCATCATATTTTTCGTTTTGCAGAGTATCAAGCAAATTTATGCGGTGCAAGGGGTTCTTTTTATTGTACTGGTCCACGTAATAGATCCATCTAAACGTTGGAATCTGTACAAGAAGCATCTCTTTCTCAGGAGATAATTTTAACCTTTTCAAAACATCAGTGGGATGCATATTCTTATCCAGCTGACTTGGATTGCTCGGCACTTGTACTATTACCCACGAGAATGGCAGCAACAGCAGACCATATCACACCGAAACGAAGGTGCATTGTTACACTAACACAATCCAATTCACTGCGGACCAGTCGTTGCATGATGGGGGAGAAATACGAAATGAAGTCGGAGACATGATCCCTTGAATCGTCAGTGTAACGGGGTGAGCCCGTTACATAATATTGACACGTGTCAATAAAAATATTATTATAACTAATAATATTTGACAATATTATCTTTTCTTATAATATTGTTCCTAGATCTCCTTGAAGTTGGAGATGCCCTCTCATTGGTTGATATGGGCCATCATATCGACCAACGCGCTGACCAATGACCGATGGACGCGCGCAATGAGTGGATGGAAAGTTGTCTACATACATAGTTGTAGTTTAATATAGTTAACATAGGTTATAACAGATTAGTTTTATTAGATAGTTAACTATATTAAATACAGTTTTCTTTTCCTTCTCAACTAAGCGTTTGTTTAGTTGATTGCCTTCCTCTGCTCACGTGTACGTAAGGT